AGTTCTGTGGTATATAGAGAGTGTTTGGAAGCTGCTTTGGGAAGGACAATCGAATCTTCTTGTACATAGACAACCTCTGTAGTTCAATTCATCAGCATTTGCTACAAGTCCTGACAGTTACTAGCTAATAAAGAAGTATTAGATAAAAAAGTAAAGTAAACATAGATATTTATAGCTAATAAAAAGATATTAAATAAAAAAGTAAGTAAAGTAAAACTTAGATAGTTACTAGCTAATGTCACGGATGCCAACAAAGGATAAAGTGTATACAGCTTTTGAATCAATTGCTAGAACTAAAACCGTAGGTACGAAGAAATCAAACTAAAGAGAGAAGAGAATCTGAAAGGAGCGAAGTTATTTAAGTTGTTCCAATGCCAAGTCTCGTCACGTGCTTGGCCAAGCGAATGAAATCCTGTCAAATGAAATCCAGCTCCGTCACAGCTAATATAACTTTAGGCTATAAAAGTATTTATAGTTTTATATCTTTTAACTTTAATACTTAGAAATAGAAACTTTTATTTCTTATTTAGTAGAGGAGCTACTATTTATCTACTATTTACTACTTAGAATATATACTTCTACTAAAGGTAGCGTTTCTTTTAGTACTTTACTATCTTATTTTATTAACTATAAAAAAACTTCTAGAAAAGGTTATATTCTTTTTTATAAAAGAATAGTATCTAATTCTTATAAAAGAATAAAGTTAGAATACTCTTAAGATATATAATCTAAGTTTATAGTAGTATAACTTAAAGTTACTTTACTTAATATAGATCTTAGCTTATACAACGCTTTTTAATTATAAGGTAGTAATTAAGACTACTTTCTTATAGTTAGTATATTTATACTATATATTAGTTAATTAATATAATTCCTTTTATTTAGTAAAAAGGGTAATAGTTTATTTAACTCTTAGAATAAGATATACTTTTCTGTAGCTAAAAAGATTATTAATATTTTTATAGATTAACTTTAACTAACTTATAGATAAATAGTATTTACTATTATTTTTATACTTGTTATTAAAACCAGTAATATATATTCGCTTAGTAGCTACTAGGTAGAGCTTTATAATTCGATTATATGGTAAATTACGTAGTATTTTTAAGTAAAGTACGTAATATTTTTAAAGTAAGAGTCTATTACTTTTAATAGTATTATTTTAATATATAGGTATATAGTTTAGTAGAAAGGGAATATAATACTTAGTAAGAGATTCATTTTTAATCTATATTTAGATATATAAGTAGTTATAATATATAATTAACGTGGTTTATCAGCGAGTCGATCATATCACCGAGTCGATCACTTTTTCTTGGCACAGAACTTTACACCTAAATAAATCAACCACAATATATTAAATTAATTATCGCTCTCTATATCTGACGAACTAGATATATCTATAACTTCTTGACAAGTTCGCGCGTTATGACCAGCTTTTCCACAAGTTCTACAGCGCCGCCTAGAAGGTTGCCCCTCCTTATAACCAACCCCCGCCTCACGCATGTCGCGTCGTACTTGCTCATCTACATCCTCCTGAGCTAACATATCCTGTAAATCCTCTACTATAAGTGCCCCTCCTTGGCGGACACGAGTCTTTTTAGCCCTACGGCGTTTACTTAGGGCTTCATTTGCAGCGCGAAGGGTACGGACCTCAGCAGACAAAAGGGTCATCTCATGTGCCATTCGCTCTGTACCCTTTGCTAACGCAGCAACTGTTTGAAAAAGTGGAGTTGGCGAGCTTCCTTGATGACAGGCTATACGATTTCGTACAAGAGTTGATTGTGAAAGGGCTTCAGTTGGGTTGGAAGGGGTCTGGGACACCCAGGGGAGGGAGTTGGCACTACACGTCCGAGGGGGAGTTGGAGTCCGTAACCTTACGTCAAGCTTTGAAAGCACTGCTTGCGGGTTAAATGGTACTAGGCCAGCTCCGCGGAATCCAGACTGACAGTTTAGGACTGTCATTGTTTCCTTGTATGCTGCTGTAAAGGCTAGAAAGAACTCAACCTTTGTAATATGGTTGATATGGGCCTTGATAAACGTCTCAATCTGCCGACCATACGCTCGTTTTAACACACTATAGCACCCAACATCAAGTGGCTGGGTTAGATGGGATGAATGAGGAGGTAGTCCAAGAGTAATAATGTTGTGTTTCGTACAGTAGTCTTGGAACTCAGCCGATTCATGACTCTCGTGCCCATCCAAAACTAGTATTCGATACAGACCCTTTGCACGAGCTGTAGTGTGTTTATCAAAGTGCTTTAACCATTCCAGGCCTGTTTCATTATTTGTCCAACCATTGCTTGTCGGTTTCATAACCCAGTTAGGTGGGAGGCCGCCGTCGGTATACCAGTTGGAGAGATGGTTCTTGCCCTGAACTACCAAGAATGGAGGAATACTCCAGCCCTCCCCATTAATACAGGCAATTGCTGTAGCCCATTCCCGATTGCCTGGCTGAACTGCCTTGCCTCTACCACGTCGGTCTGCACGAGTAACAACCATTCTAGGACAAATAACACCCATCATAAAGCCTGTCTCGTCGAAGTTGTAGAAGTCGGAGTCTGTTACCCCATATTTCGCCCTCATATTCTCTACTAGCCGGAACCATGCGCCTAGCACGTCAGGATCTTCGCATAAGGCCCTCTGGAAGTCGTAAACGCGATTAAAACGCGTCTTAAGGTCTGGTTGTCGTTGTACGAATCGATGGGCCCAGAGCTTGCCGACGCGTCTTCCCCCCCGCGATTCAAGGATAAAATTAGCCATATCTTCTACACCAGCGAGCCGGGGCGCAAATCCTCTGGAATCCATATCCAGTATATACCGAATAATCACTTCCTCTTCTCTGTCATAATAATGCATCTCCATGTACAACCCCTTCGCAAAAGTAGCAAGAATCTAGGGTACATTACTATTGTGTTACACGGTATTTAGCAAGGTATTTTGTATGTGAATTGCTTATTCCTACAGTTTCTAGGGTCGCGAAACATCTTGCTACTTTTGCGAAGGGGCTGTACTTCGAAGTATAAGGCCGCGCACAGGCCACGGCTAGACGCCCCACAGCCCCACAGCTACCTATCAAAAATATACTATAACATCCATTTTTCTCTTTGGTAATAGAGTTAGGGATCAAAAGTAGTTTGTCAAGGGCTAGGGAATGGGATTGGTTGAACATGACTTTTAGTCTTTTGCGCGGTAGAAACATCGCTAAACTTTTGTACTACGAGTGTGTAAGTAGACACATGTGCAGTGTAGGCAATAGTTTTCTCAGTTAGTTCAGTTAGTTCAGTTTTGTCTATTACAACTGACCAGTTTTCTCAGTTTTATAGAGCATTTTATAGGTATTTTGTAGGGTATATACTATAGAAGTAAAGGTATTCTAGCGTATAGAAAGGCCGTGCGCTAAATCTAAAACGTTACTTTTTGACAATTTAGGGTAATCTGATTAGCTTATCTATACCGCCTAAAAGATTATTGTAGTATATTTTACCCTACTAAAGCTTATGATTTCGTAATACTAGTATAATTAACTCTACTAACGTGGTTATATAGATTAATAAGACAATTATAGAGATAAAAGAATAAGACGACAAAGATATCGCGAGAGAAGTGGATTCATTTGTACATATAAGAAGCTATAGCTAATTTAGACTAAATTTAGCTCAGTTTTACAAAACTACAACAGTTTACTCAGTTTAGTTCACTCTTTTTGACACTTAGTTTTATAATTTAAGTTGAAACCGCAGTTAGTTTTACGAGGCCTCAAACTGGCCTGAGAACTGAGAAAACTGAACTATTGCCTACACTGCACATGTGGCTTATGAAATGTAAGTATCAGAGACTTGATATAAGGATAATCATATATGGATATTTACGGTTATATACTCCAATCTTTAGGGCTCCAAAAAAGGGATTGCACCTAAAAGAACTTCGCTACGACCGAGAATCTTTATTTAAGGACATCCACGTTTTATATTCCTAAAGAATTCCCGCCTGATTGTACTGTCGTAACGAGTTTGTCCTATATTACAGCATTCAAGAATTAGTTTGTTGCTTTATGTCATTGGAATGAATCAAGAATCAGAATTATTTCATTAAATAATTGTTAATGGTTAGGAATATGGAGTCTGATGGTAACCCCAACGATTATATGAAGTTGGGTTACAATAGGCACCTTGATTTTCTCAACAAGCGTTTTGGAGCAGATATTCCATCTTAAAAGCGTTCTTCTTGAGCATTCCTATATACTAATATGTTAAGTAAAATTGGACACTTCCCGCTTAAATCCACATACAGTTGGGTGGGTTGTGGTAAAGAGGAAAATGCATATGGAAAAAACATTCTAGATCTGTATATATGCAAGAAGAATGCCAAAAAAAACTTTAACAATTCTGGTTCTTTGCTTTTAGGTGTAGTTGAGGGTAATAGCCTTTATTATACTATTCTTGTAGAGTTAAGCGAGGGACTCCGTAAACAAAAATACTGGATGTTATTTCGAGTTCACGAGAAGTACAGTACGTCTTAATTACCAAGCACACCCTGTCTGCAAAAACTCGCATATTTTGAGGAACACGAAAATATCCAAATAAAATTGGTAGCTGTTGTGAAACTAGAAGTGTGAAAAAGCGTATGCGAATGATTGGTTACCAATTGTATGCAGCCCCTGGTCAGTCCCACCACTTCCCTGAAAGAGTAATTGGTGGGCCTTTTTTTGACAAATCAGAACTTCATACTTCAAAAAAAACTCCTGACAATACTATATGATAACAACAATCGGTAATTCGTAATCAAAAGAGAAAATAAAGGGTTCGAATCCTCCTCAGACTCCATGTTGCATTGTAAGCACACGATATGAGGCACAGTTCCATGTGAATATGAATACAAAGACGCTTTCTTTATACATAGTGAAGTAGAACTTACACCTCTTTATCTCTCAATTTTACTTCAGCGTCCTTACCTTTTTAAATCTTTCCTCTCATCCCCCAAACTCCAAATCTACGAACATGATCAGGTTCACAGTCTTCAAAGGATCTCCTTCTGGAGATATAATCCAAGATGAAACCACAACTCCTGCTGTGAAAGCCAACGAAGTCCTCCTCAAACACACTCACTCTGGCGTCTGCGGAACTGATCTACACTATCTCCATACATCGATGGTCCTCGGTCACGAAGGCGTAGGTATCGTCCAAGCACTGGGAGAATCGGTGACTAGTTTCGAACGGTATGTCCCCATTGAATGCTCTATCCAGAAATTTGTTGTCTGAAGAAAGAAAAGTGGCGACCGTCTAGGATTCGGCTATACAAAAGACGGCTGCGGTACCTGCAAACAGTGTCTGAAAGGTTACACCTTTCAATGCGAGTCTTCTCCTCGCTACTTCGCAGGCACCGATCTAGACCAAGGTTCCTTTGCGGAGTACTCTATGTGGCCTTCTACCCGTCTCGTCAAACTTCCCAACGAGATAGAAAGCGCGGATGCAGGACCGTTTATGTGTGCCTGTCAAACGGTCTTCGTTCCCATGCTGAGGAATGGATTTAAGAAGGATGACAGGGTTGGAATTATTGGAATTGGTGGATTGGGGCATTTGGCTATTCAGTTTGCGAATGCTTTTGGATGTGAGGTGGTTGTGTTTTCTAGTAGTGATAATAAGAAAGAGGAGGCGATGAGATTCGGGGCTAAAGAGTTTTGGAATACGAAGAACTTGAAGGCGGAGGATGTCAAGAAGCTTCACCATTTAGTCGCTACTACCAGCGCGCAACCAAATTGGGAATTGTAAGTTTGGAATATCCCCCCATTCATACCTTGACTGACTTCGACCAATTCAGGTATGCCGATCTCATGGCGCCCTTCGGTCATATTTACCCTCTTACAATTGCGGACGGAAACCTCAGTTTCCCTTACCTTCCGCTTGTTTTGAAAGAGCTATCCATCCATGGAAGTTGTTCTTCCAGTATCGAGTAGTTTGAGAAAATGTTGGCTTTTATTGTCAAGCACGGAATTAAACCGACAATCGAAAAGTTCCCAATGACAGTTGAGGGTATCGAGCAAGCCATCAAGAAATTGAGAACAGGGGAAATTCGGTACCGCGCTGTGTTGGAGGTTCAACAAAGCTGAGTTGATATATTCCTATTTAGTAAATAGAAATTTATTGGTTAGGAGAACCTTAATACCAAGTCAAGGAATCTCACACCTTCGCTCTGGACGGTATTGCTGGTGTATGGTCTTACATCCCTGAGAATTCAGCCAAGTAACTCTCCTCAGATCATTCTAATAGAACCAATTTATCATACCGCCCTATATCCAACACCTCATCTCCCAAGATCCAGGAAAAAGCTGCCGGACTGTCCTCATTCTCCACATCCTGCAACCTCGCAATCTTCTGCAAAACCTCCCCGACTATTTCAAAATTTCCAGCCCAATACCCCAAGAACCATTCTCCCTCCTGACTTCCTTTCTGCGTAGCCAAAACACCGTTTATCACTGCCCAACCAAGTCTTTCATTCCACCAGATCCCATTGAATTCTAGAAGCCTCCATTTTAAAAGTCCAACAATCGTCTTAATGACCCTACTCCCCCTCTTCATGCCCCTCAAAACACACTCCGAATAAATCAACGCAGACAGTGCAAAAATTGCCAGCCCAGGATTCTCGGCATAAGTATGCCCGTGTATGAGCGTGAGTAGTTCACGGTCAGAAGCTAGGAACTGCTCGCCTAGGCTGACTCTTCGTTCTGGCGGTAGAAGATCTCTTGGACATTGTGTTAATTCCTGAGAAAGGGCGCGGAGACGTTGGATGATTGTGGATTCTATTTGTGATTCTATGATGGAATGGGAAAGTGCGTTGACGGATGTGATTTCAGGGCGATTTTGCTCTTGATCTAGGAGGAGATGGGAGTTTGAGATCTGGGCACGACAAGAATCTGTCCTATAATCTGTGTTAGATCTAACAAGAAGAAGTGACGCGACTTAAACAAACAGGGAGGGAAATGTTTCAGTGTGGGGATAAAACAAACCATCTGACAAGCCTCCCAATCAACCCACCAAACCCTAAATTCCGTACCCCCTTTCGCCGGGAAACCATGGCTTTCAATCCCTCAAAATGTATATTGGCTTCCTCAAAGTCACCAATCAACAACTATTATATCGTTAGCTCCTTTCCGATTCCAGATGTCTTCACACTACTCCCCAAATACAACCTGATATTGGAATATACATTTACACTAGCCAAACAAGCAACACTCCCCAGGACCTCATCTCCAATCCCCCCGCCCATATGCATCTCACTATTAATGAACGCAATAACCCTGCCCTTTAACCCCAGTAATTTCTCTGGCTGCTTGTATGTTGCAGGTATGGAATCCTGATTAAGTAAGACCCAATGATATAGCGTAGCATAGAAAAGCGTCTGGTTCGTAAGGGCGTAGGTAAGCCAGCCTGTTTCGGTGGTGACGGTACATAGCGATTGGGATGTATGGTGGAGAACTGATTCGTTACGCCGATGGTCAAATGGAATATAGGGATGTAAAAGGAGGAGGAATAGAGAATACAAGCTTACAATGATGCAGGAAGAATCTGGCTTGTTCGTCTAGATGAATGTTTACATCCGTAACCTCGATCATTGTTGCGGCATTGGTGCTTGTGCTCCCCAATGTTGTAGCTTGTTGTTGGAGAGCTTGGCCCCTTTCCTTCGCGATTCTTACAACATCGTTTCCATCACTAATATTAGAGGGTTCAGTAACATGGCATACTAGTACTGCATTCGAAAATAATTCAAATAATGCATGGAATACTCACTCGTCATTCTCCTCCTCTTCATCCCGGCTAACAGCAGCACGAAGATTTCTCTTTCCCTCCCCCCTTTTACTCTGCCTCATTCGCTTCTGCATGACTAACCGATCCGCGACGTGCATTTTTATATCAGATCTAGTTCTTTTCTCCTGGGGTTTATACCCCGTTTCTTGAATGAACAGGAATCCCTCCATGGTTGGCTGTTACCCGCACGTTTCGACTAACCCTTTACTTTCAACTGCGACACTTGAACACACAAAGAGAAAGGCTTTTGGAATTCAGAAAATGATTTGGATGTCAAAGAAATCCACCGTATACAATTGAGATGTTACTTTCCTTGGCTTGAGTTTGGGAGAGGGGTCAGCGATCTGGTAAATGGATAGAAATGCAGAATGACAAATGCGGAATATGGTGCTGCAATGCAAGATGCACAGTAATCTCACGAAAAGAAAGACAGCATGGTCAACTTTGATTGGATATTCGTTCGATTCACGAACACGACATCTGGAAAGCACAGTTGAGAGGTATCAAGCGCCTACAATAATCAGAAAAAGCATCTCAAATGCAGTTTCTCTTCACACAATGCTAACCACCCATTGTCTGTACAAGAAAAATATACGAGACGAAGTGAAGAAACTGTTCATTACAGATTAATAAATTGTTGAGTTCAGGGGGTAGAAACACATCACTCTGCACTCACCGAATTTGAGCTGGGTTTGTGTTGTTAGAATGTATTATTGATCGCATCGAAATTTTGTATTACGCTACATAGCCATCCTAGTTCAGATCTTTGCGCCCTTTTTTTAGGATTTTTAGTCGTTGAATTACATAGTGGGGCTCCCAGTGGACAGGAAAAGTAGCAGAGATTTCTTTTATCTTAGCCTAACTTGACCAAAAACCATTCTATAATGCTATTTATTTAGACTAATGAACATGATTGATTCAAAAGGATAGGATAATAAAGGCAAGTTTCCTAGATATTTGAAACATTTTAGTACTTAGAACTAACTTACGCTAACAATCAAAAAATGAATCTCTGCCACTTTTCTTGTCCCCCGGGAGTGGGGGCACCAGGGGGGGTGGAACATCAGGCGACAGCTCCCTTGAAAGCAACAACTCAACATCTCCACCATCTCGATGTCCGTGTATATCTCACACCATCGTATGCCGAAGACAAAAGCGATGATCACGTTCATGGAACGGGAGACGATGCACTAGTTAGTTGTAGTCTTGTTACAGTAGAACTTTTCCTCCCCAATCAAAACCTGCGATCAAAACCAAGACGCTCGCAAACGGTGGCATCATCTGGTGTCACCGTCTCCCCGGCTCGCTACGGAACATACGAGTGCGGAACATACGAGTGCAATCAATCGGGGGTCAAGATTGAAAGCGTTTTTCACGTACTTACCTTTTTGCATGCATATAATTCTACTTCGAAGTGAAAATTGGACAGGTATTCATGTATTCATATCCATAATTGAAGATTTCGATAAGATAACAACTCACTAAACGCCGCCCCTTCCAATGTTTTCTGCCTCAACATAAAACTTTTATTTTACGCACTATTACGCACTATTACGCACAACACAGACCAGCCATCATTTAATTTTCAAGTTCATTAACAGTATCAACAGCACAGTCCAATTGTAATTGTTCATCTGTCACTTCAACCTTCCTCTTCTTGCACTTAGGAAGAGCTTCAGTGGATTGCGCTCTATCGGAATGCGAACGAGATTGAGATTGTGACTACAATTACATTATTATTAACTACTCATATAGAACTTTATGCAGTTTTTCCACTAACAAGCGTCGCCTTCTTGTCCCCATCCACCTTGTTCTTGAAGTCTTCCACGGACATGGTGGAGTTCGTGGTGACACCATGGTGTTCTGCTGGCTCTTGAATCTTCTCCTTGACAACGACTCGCTTGTGAGTTACTGATGGGACGATAACCTCTGTTCATGAATTAGCAAAGCCTTCAGAGTTAGATTAAAGAAATTGACTTACCCTTCTCAATTACTGGCTGAATAGTCTCGTGCAAGTGATGGTGGACGTGCTCATCCTGTAGCGTCGGCTCTTTGGTCTTGGACTCAAACTTCTTCTCATCGTGCGTGCTCTCAAATCCAGCTTGATCAGCCTTTGCCTTGGCCGCCGCTTTGTTGTCGTCTTTGTTGATACTCTTGTGCTTCGTTTCCTGAACGTGATCATGTTTCTCAGGAATGATCTCAGAGTCTTTCAAGGGCTGAATGGTGGTGTGGTAGTGATCTTGGTGTTTCTCTTTCTCGACAAAGGTTTGCTCCCGAGTCTCGTGTTGCTTCTTGACATGTGTGTGCTCGACTGCTGGCTTGATTTCTCCCTCGACAGTTGTATCAGCAACATCTGCTTTTACGTCGACATCATCCACGTTCGTAGTTCTTGGAGTGGAATCTCTGGTGGCCCTGTCAACCTCTGGTGTAGGGCTGGCAGTGGTTCTGCCAAAGAGCTTATTAACGGCGGTTGCTGCGTTATCCATTTTGAGGAATTGTTTGTTGAATTTTTTGGGAAATTTGAAGTGTGATTGGATCAATTGAGAGTGTGAAATGAATTGTTTGATTAATTGACAACAATGGTATGGGGTCTGAACATCTTATATTCATTAATTAGCTACTTAAGTAGCTTAAGCACGTCCCATTTCAAAAAATGTAGCACGTCACAAGTGACTGTCTGGCTGCATTGTGGAGAGTTGGCACAGCATAAGTCTATCCAACTTGCTCCTTCGACGGAGAATTCGGTGGAGTGTGGCGTCATCCAACCAATTCCGGGTGGCGATGTCATGACGCCCGTGACGCCACAGTTGAAAACAGCACGTGAAACATGTGATTCCTGAATCTTTTCTGCATACGACGTCATCGTTAGTATAGATGAGACTGGACTGCAGAGAGGGGAAGATGATTCTGGATGATTCAGTGGTTTGGTGGTTCAGAAGAACGGGCTAGAAGCGAGAAAAGAGTCTCGGCAAATAATAGGTATAGAGCAAGTCGCATATAAGAAGCAATTACAATTACGTCGTGCGGTAATTATTATCTCTTTTAGTTTGGCTCATCTAGCGAATAATTTCCGCTGCAGCTGAGACCAACAATTGTTCCTCTCATTATTGTGTGTGAACTTCATATCTATCGCTATCATGCTGAACGGGTCGATAGAGAAAATAGTCGAACTTTGCAGGTAACACCATTCCGTTCACATCAGAACACGCCATCCCAACAAAAGCACCGGTAAAACTTCCATCATTCTGATGTCCACCACACTCATCAGAAAGTATGCTAGCATCAAATACTGGTCCAATCTTTTCCAGTTCCCCTCCTTCAAGAGCATAGAAAAATTGCAATTCGCGGCCACGAATCGAAAGTGCAAGTTTTACTTTTCCTTCTTCCGGAAGTGGTACAGGATCCACGAAGGGCATCTGAAGTTTAGCTTCTGGCCAAGAAGCTTCCGAGCTCTGAATGAGAAGTTCTCGTTTCCCATCTGAGTGGGCTGTAATTGTGAGGTAAAAGAAGTTGTACCGACAGTAGTATGCTGTAAGTCCAGCAAATTGTCTCTCATCTGTTGGATGAAAGTCAACTGTCGTCTCGGCGTCGTATGAGAAATGAGTTTGTCTTCTTGCCACCAATGATTGCTCAAACCACGATCCTATTGATTCACGACCGAACACAGTGAGCTTTGTATCCTCGATTTTGAAGATGCGATCTGGTTCTGGGGTTCTTAGCCATTGGAAGTCTTGGTGTAGTTTATCTTTGAATGTATATCGTTGCTCTGCCCAGTATTTTGTATCATCTCGTTTTCCAGGCACTTCGACGTGAAGTGATGGAATTGGCCCATTCTTAATGTACAACCACTCATCGTCTCCTGATCAAGGTCAGCGTTATCTTTGAGACTTGCCAAGCAGGGGAATGTGATTTTGAATAAGATTTTTGAGCATCGAATGCTTCTGTGGAATCATATTTTGAATGGACTTACCCCAATAAGCTTCTTGAATAGCTGTTTCTCTTCCCAATATGCATCGTCGCTTTTGAGTTATGGGCCGACCAGAAAGATGAACCAAGTACGTCTTTCCTTCAGGCGTTTCCACGATATCTGTAGGTCCAGAGTATGCAATTAGCATTGGCTCCAGCAATATTATTAATAAGGAAGATATTAAAATCTAGCTCACCTCCATGACCAGCGCGTTGAAGCGCAGCAAAAGGTGCGTTTCTTGCACTCAGTATGTATTTCTGGGGATGCAACTCATAAGGACCCCAGATATCCTTTGACCGAGCAAGTGTACAAGCATGTCTATAGCCAGTTCCACCTTCAGCCGTCAATAAATAATACCACCCATTCCTATTATAAAGATGAGGACCCTCAACAAAAGCCAATTCCGTCCCAAGAAAGATATTCTTTCTCGCACCAATCAGTTTTCCCGCGGCGTGATCCCACTCCTGCAGTACGATACCGGCAAACATATTTGGACGCCGACGGTGGTCTTGATGCATATTAACGAACCACTTCTTGCCATCGTCATCGTGGAAGAGCGAGGGGTCGAAACCAGAGGAATTCACATATACTGCATCGGACCAGGGACCTTCAATCAAGGGTGCGGTGACGATGTAGTTATGTGTATCCTTGTAGGAACCGTCTTTTCGCTTTACGTCTGTGTAGACGAGCCAGAATTTCTCACCGTCGTGTGTGAGGCAGGGTGCCCAGACTCCGCAACTATCTGGTTCTCCTCGCATGTCTAATTGGGACTTCTGAGTGAGTGGTCGCACTATGAGTTCCCAGTTTGCGAGGTCCGTTGAATGGTGGATTTGCACGCCAGGAAACCATTCAAAAGTTGATGTTGCTATGTAACTGAGCCAATATTAATATAGATTCCATCAATTGGAGCTTATGGATATACTAGTCTTTCCCAACTCTGAGGATTGAGGGATCAGGATTGAACCCTGGAAGAATGGGGTTACGGATCAATGGCATGGTGAGAAAATGCCACTTTTGGTGGTTTAGTGAAATGAAGGTGAAAGGTTTCTCGAGACGATTGAAAAGAGATTGATCTTCTTATGAAATAAGTAGCTATTTGCTAGTTGCACTGAGTTGCACAGCTTTCTACTGTCTCCACAATTTCGTATTTATCCATTTATCCCGCGGTCCGGTTGCGGGGTCGAGGGGAATTCACTCCACTCGAAAATGGGGTTCTGATAATTGTCATCACACTATGGCCATCGAGATGAGGCTACTCGAGTATATTGCTCTTTCTAATATCACAATTCTTTGCAACATTTAGAATGGAAATTGTGTCTTTCTACAACAACAAATTAGGCATGCTACGTAAATCCAGCTTTATTAGTTTCAAACCATGTTTCTTTATCAATATGCAATCTTCTGTGCGACTTCTTTCTAGTCTGTCTTACGTTCCTCAACAAACTTTTTCCAAACCTCCTCAATATCATTCCCATAAATCCAATTCAAAGTCTCCTCGCCACCAAAAGAATTAATTCTATGCTTCAAACTCGCAGCAAAAGTCTGATCGCTCGATACCTTTTTCGCCTGCTCAATCTTTGACTTCTGAGCATCCAAATACTCATACCTATTCAACAGCATTCATTAACCCAAGAAAAGTACCAAGAATCGGAGATATAAACGTACATCCTCTTGTAGTAAGGACTTCTAATCCCATGAAAGATCTCCGCAGCACTTACCCCATTCTCGCGCGAGAACTCAATAGCACGCACCAAAATCTACCCATCTTCCAATGCAAACGCAGCCCCGGATCCAAAGGCCCCAGAAAGACGATGACTCGCATCACCAATTAAAACGACCTTCCCATCCCACGCCGTAAGTTCCTCAAGACGGGGACCAGCAAAGGCTGAGAACTCACGTCAAGAACCTTCCGGGGCCTGAGAAAGCGCTTCACGGATTCTGGGATCGTAGTCCTACTTTCGTCACTTTCATTTCCTTGATTAAGGGGGAAGAAAGACTCATACCGTAAAAAAGCTCTCAACGCGAGAATTGGAAGCTGGAATGCCCCAACTAAATTTCTTGCCCACATCCGTAGCGGGATCCACCAGTTTCCTCGCAGCAATCTCGAATTTCTGGTCTTCTTCGAGAGTTTCTGTGGGATCGTCGACGAGAGAACCGTAGATGTGGCCGGTAGGGCCGTGCCACCATTGGGTTTGGGGAAGAAGTGAGGGAATATGGGATATTGAAGATGCAGGAATTAAGACACGGAAAATGGTGCTGCCTGTGAACTTTATCGCGTGTGTGGGAAAGATGTGTTTGTTGTCTTACTACCTAATGCCTTTTGTTAAGAGAGGGAATGAAAGAAGGGGGTGGTGCGAACCGAGCGAATCCCGTCGGCGCCAACGAGCAAGTCTGCTATTGCTACTGTGTTGTCTTCGAAGGTAAGACGGATTCCGTCTTTTTTGAGGTCTTCAACCATGGAAAGTCGTTTGTTTAGTTTGATGATTCCTTCTGGGACTTGAGATATTAGTGACGATTGGAGACGAGTCCTTCGAACTCGTTGAGGTTGATAGTAAAGGAGCCGAGTTGAAGGAGGCGAGGCTTTTACAACCTCGCCAGTCAAACCATTTCTGATGATCTATTAGTTCACATGCTTTCCGATGTTCCTCGCTGAGGATTATAAGCAAAAAATAAGATGATTACCAACCTATGAAAAACACTTGTCTTCAAATGACCCTTCACATCCTTATCTGCACCCAGTAATCCAAGGACTTTCCAACAATTAAACCCAATTCTGATTCCAGCACCGATCTCTCTCAATTCCTTCGCTTGTTCATAAAGGGTTACCTTGACATTTGGGAGAGAAGAGAGTGCAATTGCACTTCCTAGTCCACCAGGTCCTCCACCAATAATCGCGATACGAAGAGTGGGTGATTGTGCACTCGGCATAGTGATTTCCTCTCAATACCTTAAAAAAAGAGAGCACGGTCTACGAAGTATATACGTTTTCAAAATGGATTGGAAGGATGAACAATGTTCAAGTATGATTACATGACGTGCTTTTCTAGAGTTTTGCGTGCTAAGATATGCTAATCAACAGTATGATAACCAGATAAAAGCAGCCGAAAGGGGTCAAGTTGAATGTAACCTCTTATCTAGATAGTATACCACCAAAGCTCAATCTCATGATCTTCTATTCAGCTCCGACAAACTTCTTCTCATAATATTCACCTGAGTACTATTTCTTCCAACCATCAACGTGCTATTCGTAGGCGGGAGTCCAAACGGCTCAATTTCAAAGGCACAGAAATTATCATTTCCAGGTAACGTTCCGTTTCGGAAGAAGTTGGTGATTTTTCCAAATGCGCACTTGTTCAGACGCGCTTGGGTCGTATGCTTCAATCCAATTAGTTCAAAAGAGAGAGAAGAGAAGAGGAATTACTTGCCCCTAGCCCTTCGATAACGAACGAGGTGTTCAGCCTTCTGGAAGAGATGCGTACTTCTTTCACCACTGATATCTGTTAGTGATATTGTGATCCAGGTCAGTGAGAGCAACTTGCTTGTGGATTGGAGTAGCAGGATCGAGTGTGTTACTAACGAACAAAATCGGGTTTCTGGTGTGGCCACCGAAAGTTCCTACTTGTGTTTATTACCTCTTCCCAAAAGCAACAAGCAGCGCATTATAGAGAAAAGTAATGTGCATACCTTCAAATTTCTCCGCTGCTTCGATCGACCAGCCAATACAATTCGCACTTTCTGCAGAGACCCAATCCCCGAACAAAAAACTCTGCTGTTGAAGAGTCCTGATATTCGGTTTCATATCTTGAAGAGTGTGATTGTAAAGACGGTGCCTTGAATCTGTACAGGAAATCGTACGGAGTGATTCATCGGCTGCATTCGCAACAAGGTCGATATTCTGGCCAATCCGTTTTTCCATCTGAATAATAGCATCCAGGGATATATTCCTCGATATCTGCTCATAGATGACGAGTAAATCGGCAAGTTGCGAGAACGTGGCAGTTGGGGTGTAAAGTTTCGGTCTCGCAAGGACCTTAAGTCCTTCCAACCCCAAAATTAACGCTGAGGAATTTGCCCGGTTCTGCCGAGTAGCAGTTTTGACATCAAATCGTCTCACCGTTCTTTCGAAGCGCTTGAGCATATCGCCAGCGCTGGATCCGGAATAGTAAGAACACATCTTAGGACCTGCAAGATAACAATACTCGAAAAACGCCAGGAAAACATCATCAGTCAACGTCCCCGCCCTCAGAATGTTCCCACTCATCCAATCATCGGCATCGACAACCCCATCTAAAACCACCCTTCCAATCCTATCCGGAAACATCGAGGCGAACATCTGTCCAACCACGGTCCCATAACTGAAACCCCAATAATTCAATAACTCAGGGTGTTTGACTCTTTTCCCATCCTCGCTCCTAGCAAAAGCATCAAGAACACTGATCATATCCCTAACAAGGACGATGGTATTCATATGCGGCCCTGCGTCCTTCTCACCACCTGTTTTGTCTTGACACACCGCACCAAACCCCTTTGCCACTCTAATAACCTCCTCAAAAAAGCTATCAGGGAGATCCTGGCCCGGCGCTCTATCTCTTTTTTGGATGCCGGGTATGTGGATGGTGGAACTACAATTCGTGATCGGCTCAGAAAATCCCAGTCCTCTGGGTTCCCAAGCGACAATGTCGAAACCGGATCCCGGAACCGACGAGAGGTAACTTGCTGATGCGAAGACGGATTCTATTCCAGACACACCTGGACCGCCGGGATTGTGAAGGAGCATGTTGTAGCATCCTAATAGTTTCTTTATGCCCTCAAAGCCGTATATGTACGTACTACTTTTTAAGCTTACGATACCTACCTTGCACCTACTTTACACCTACTTTACGATTTAAGCCTTACGATTATTTTAATATCTATATAAATAAAGTCTTATAATTAACTCTCGAACGCGAATTAAGAAGTAGTTTATAATTAATTTATAAATAAGTTAGTATAATTAAGGTTATTATATAACGTAAAATTAGTAGTTATTAGATATACTGTTAATCGCTCTTTGCGTATATAAATACCCTAAAATAGTCCTCTAAAATAGTTAAAAAAGATATATAAAGTTATAGGGGTAATTACTAGAATCTATTTATAGATTATTAGAAATATTATTATTAAGAACTTCGATTACTTATAAAAATAATATCTTTTTTTCTATTACTACTACTACTACTACTATAATAATTTAGGGCTCTTAGAGTACTTTTAAGCTCCCCTACCTTGTAACGAATACTCAAACTGGCTAACTAAACTTGGCTGGGTGTTCGCTGGTTGGTATGCTATGATAAGAAGAAGACTATCGGGTTGTTCACTTGGAAGTGAACTCGTTACTTGTATCAAAGATGTCAAACAAATATGATAAGATTGATAACTAAGTTGAGCACGAAGCTCCTATCTAATGGCAGACGTGCCAGTCTTATATAGAACCTTCTTGCTCGTTGATCATTATGATCACCCTGATCCCACNCTAAGTTGAGCACGAAGCTCCTATCTAATGGCAGACGTGCCAGTCTTATATAGAACCTTCTTGCTCGTTGATCATTATGATCACCCTGATCCCACTGATCCAGCTCAGCGTTGCTCAGTTGATCACCAATGATCAATGACGGTCACATGACTTCTATCAGATGAAATCCCTGGATCGCTTAGCTAGCCTAAGCATCCCTATTTGCTATAAGAGTGTGTTGCCAGCTGGTGCTTAACCTGTCAGGACGCCACCTGGTCTTTGCTTATCACATGCCAACACGTGATTCGTGACATACCTTTAAGCTTATTCCTTCTACTCCTATACTAGTAGTTCTAGTACTAATTATGGGATTCTAATTATATAAATAAGGAGATAGACTCGAGTAATAGTAGGGATTCTAATTAGTATAGTATATTCGTATTTTTAGACGTTTCTTATAATAGCTTTAATTTGAACTTTTTAATATAATTATACTTAAAAATACACTTATTTACAAAGATTAATTTAGTAAAGTAGGCTACGTAAACGTAAAGAGTAGTAAGGATATATATAGCTTTAAGGGAATAAGTTTATTAAGTATATATATTATTTAATTATTTAATTTGTTACGGAGTTGGAGGAATTGGGGGCAGATCACGTGTAGCAGCACGGCACGTGCGTGCTGCTGGCAGCCTGTATATAAGCTTCTGTTCCTCTGTAACTCTCTTCCTTCCTCACTTAGTTGTTCGCTCTATATAGCAGTTTCCGTTTGACTCCGTATTCATCACAGCAAGCAGTGGTTCACTCCACACGGTCACAATACTAGTACTCTCGAGTTTAGAAGAGATATAACTTTAAATTATACTTTGTTCTAGGCGAAATAATTATAGGTTTTTCGGAGATTTTTACTCTATTACTAACCTTAGCTACCCTTAGTAAACCTATAATTATTTCGCCTTAGACGAAGTATATAAGATACTTCGAGTATAAGAGAATAAGTAATTTTACTAAGTAATAATTCTATATTTTAAAACGTTTGTTAATTACCTTTAGGTAATAATATACTACTAAGATAGCGTGAATACTAAATAGCTACTTGTTTTATAAGCGAGCCGACCCGACGCTCTGGCCACTTCACTAAGCGAGGATTCGAGCGATCCAATTGGTCTACTTCACTAACATCCCGACCCCCTGTCATTTGCCGCAGGTCTACACGTAAAGTATTGGGCAATTCGGCATTAATACAGTTCTCAGCTCCTTCTATCCTTGAAATCTCTGCTTGCAACCTAGCAATGTTATTGTCCTAATTTTTTTCTTCTCAAATATCGCTCCTGAAAGTGAAGAAACCTTTTGATCCACACCTTGCTGCGTGTGATTGCAAAAGTCGTTGTTGGGTGATGCTCTACAGGAATTTAATTCAGCACATTGTTTCATTTGCAGGCCGGAACATATTATCAGTCCTTCCTGTCAATGTATAATATTTATCTCAAGTCTTCGTTAGACAACCAGGAAGCACGTCTGCGAGACGAGCAAGTTCTTTGATCAAGCATAATCCAATCCGGGATATAGAAATCAAGACGTCATATTGAAACTCGTAGTACTTGATCTAAGCTAGGATATTACTTTCCCTTTTATTACCCCGAGACCTTACTACGAGACTAATATAATATAGTATGTGTCCTTGGCGTATCCTACCGCTGTGATTCCAGCATTTCACACGCCGCCCTTTATTGCTTCTGTTCTTTCCCTGATTTATTCTTAGCAATCCCGTTTTCATAAAAGACAAGACTTGTTACCTAGAACGTCTCGTGCTAGTAGTGGCAGAGGATTGAAGGCACACATATACTCGTCCTCGGAATCGACCGCGAAATTAAAGCTGCAGACGTCTTCTGTCAAGGGAAACACGAATGAATGTCTTTGTAATTCTTCGCAGGTGATTAGCTGGCGTTGGCGTAATAATGAACATACTCATACCGGTGATATTCTTTGGTCGACTGGTAATCCTCCAACGCCACCAGGTTCTCGTGATAACTAACGAAGGCGAATTCGTAACCCTTGTTCCTTTCCTCGGGGGTTGACAACGAAGGGCCACCCATCAGGCGACCATCTTTCACAGATGGCTGAACTTTGAGAGACTTGATCTCTCGCACGACCTCATTCTTCTGTTCTTGGGTTATATCGGGTTTACACTTGCCCAGAACTGATATGTTTTAATAAGTATAACGTAGGGCAGAGAGCCAAGTAACTTACCTATGTGAATGAGAGTCATATTTGGAGACGTATTCAGGACGTTCAGATTCTGCTCCATGAGCTCGAGATTTCGTGCTTGGGCATGAATTCGTATATATGGCCCTCAATCCATGCGGGTCAGATTGGTTGACCCTCCGACCACCGAGACTCTCCGACTAACGTACCCACTGCCGACCACCGACTGCCGCACTGATGCACATATTCCGATTTTCAACTGTTTGCTGTTGGTTACTTTTCGTCCGATTGGATGATGACATTCAGTATTCACTTGGCCGATGCGGATCTTGCACTGTTTCATAAAAGACAGTTGTTACCCCCCTGCATCTAATCTAGCAAGCGCTGTTTTATCTGCTCTACAGACTTTTGCTTTTACATAATCAACAAAGTTCTTCCTCGCCCCTAAATCATTTGAATTTCCAAAACCATCTGCTGTGCATATTCTGCGGTGCAGCAAATTCATGACGGCAGCATGGCAAGCATTGTAGAAACCCTGCTTTCGCCAACTGTTCTCATGTTTACGTCCCTGCTTTTGCTTCTCGGTAACGCAGTGGTTTTCATCCTTAGTACCCTTCGTCCGAAAGCCTTTCCACCTGGGCCACGCGGACCTCCTGGACTGGGCAACCTTCTTCAGGTCGATCGGATTTTCCCCTTCCTCACCTATGGCGCCTGGGCCAAAGATTACGGCAAAGACACTCCCATCGGGGTCAAGAAAGGCGCTTCCAATGTCGTTGTCTTGAACAGCGCCCGCATTGTCCGCGAATTGATGGAACGACGTGGAGCCGTGTATAGTGACCGTCCCTGGCAATTCATGAACAATACATGAATCTTCAAGGATGATCTTAGAGCCGCCATTTTTCAGAACAGTTCCCCATGGCTCACTCGTTGGCGCAAGGAATTCAAAAGTCATTTCGGCACTGCAGCCATTATGAAGCTGCATCCAGTCTATGAGGCCGAGTCAGCTAGGCTGCTGGTCAAACTGGTGGAATCTCCAGAAGCCACAGGAAAGGATTTAGAGTCCATTCTCGTGTGCTGGCTGATAAGCGTGCCATGCCTAGGGGTGTGCGGCAGGCGCCCAGATTCTATGACTGATCATGGATTTACAATCCCGGATTTTCGATATTGTATTGATCAGTACGCTGCCTTAGTGGCACCCAATATCAGGGACTTATTTCCCATTCTACGCTACATACCGGGTCTCTTCGGGCTTGCTGAGTGGAAAGAACAGGCGCAACTTGTCCGGAAAGAGGCCCTGAAAAAGGGAACTCAGTTTCTGAATGTAGCAAAGGAGCAGCGTGCAGCTCTGGATGCCGGAAAGTCGATTGAGTGGGAAAGCATGCTGGCGAAGATGTTGAGAGATCAACGTGACAACGATGATCACACGTTCTCAGAACATGATATGGGCCACAGCGCCTTTCACGTAGTAGCAGCTTCTACGAGCACATCGACAGCAAAGTTCTCGGTATTACTGATGGTGCTAGCAAAATATTCAGATGTTCAGCAAAAGGTCAGGGAGGAGGTGCTTGAAATTTCTGGAGGCGCAATACCCAAGGCGACAGATATACCCAGCCTGAAGTACACAGAGGCGGTTTGGAACGAGGTATTCCGTTCCATTGAACTACTGATTATTCATAAAACTGATTATATAACTTGATAGGTACATCGCTGGCGTCCCGTAGCCCCTCAAGCAATTCCCCACGCACCATCTCAAGACGATGTCTATAATGGTTATCGCATTCCCAAGGGCACTGCTGTCATCATGAATGTCTGGCACATTCACCACTCTGAGGAGGATTATGAAGAGCCGGAAGAGTTCATTCCAGAAAGATTTCTGAACCACCCGTTCGGGATGCGGCCAGACAAAGCACACGACGGTACTCAGATGGAGGCATCGGGTGCGCGGATCACGTATGACTTTGGGGCTGGGCGGAGAGTATGCCCAGGAATGCATTCGACCAAGCAGACTTTTCTACTTGGCTTGGCTAAGATTCTCTGGGCTTTTGAAATTCTGCCGCTTGAAGGAAAGAATCTCGATCTGAGCTTAAAAACTCGTTTCGTCCAGGAAGTTGCTTTGCACCCGAAGAGCCTGGATGTGTCTCTGAAACTAAAGAACGGCAGGACTGGGAAGACTATTATAGGTCATTACCATCAAAAATATGAGGATGAGGCCAAGGTTATGGGCTGGGAAAACGACCTCTATAGATAGTGTACACACTGGGAGTCTGAACTTTGAATATGCTTGCTTGCTTCAGGCAAACAAAGCGCCATAAAAATATACCTATGAAGTAACTCTTGCACACTGCTGTTTCATCAGCCGTGAATTTCAGATGGTGCAAATCACTTTGTACCAGGCTAAGTGATGGCCTGTCTGCAATTTTGATGTCGACCGGAATGCCTGAGGTGCTGAGGGCATATAAACTGTGGCGAAGGTGGTTGATGAAGTTGGACCCCGCATGAGGGACCGAGCTGTCATTGGTAATATAACCGAGGTGGCACGTATAAGTCATACCAACATAACCAACTTCTGCCAAGTTCTTCTTTTCACTCGTACACTAAATTTGATCTCACCAGACTCAAAAGATATCGCAGCCATGGTCTTCTTTCCTCTGATCGCGAAAGTACCCATTCCGAATAAGGACATTGTGTCGTGGATATTCAATAATGTAACTTACAACTAAGATCAGCCTATATGTCCAACGCCCGCTTTCTTACTCCCCGTTGATGGACTTTTTAGATGTACATCGATGCTAAAAATCCAATAAACTCTATCTCCATAAACCAAGCACAAGTTCTCGTTAAAAAGTGGCCGCGGACTATCAAGCGGCGGGTCTTGAGAAGGGTGATTGTGTTTGTATTCATTCATGCAATGATGTAAGTGCCCCGTTCACTTTTTGTTGCTTCACTCTCCTTCGCTCAACATCCAAGTTTCGCTAACACTACCCTGTTTTATAACCTCTCCCTCAGATAAGATAACATCATCTATATAAATATCGTCCTTGTCCTCGTCGCTGACTGTATTACTGTATCTAAACTGATATCCACGACTTCGAATATAACATCTGGGAGATAATGAGTGTACGTCGGCGAAATGGATAAGGAGGGTCCGGAAAAATTCTGAAAATTACTCTTGCCGCGATCTGGAAGTAGACATGATCTTCGGGTCCAGAAAAAGCTTCTGAATTCGTACTGAGGAGACACTGTTTTGGACAACAGGTTTCCTACTCTACGAAATTCAGAAAAGAATATATGACACAATCCTAGCGGACTCCCTATTAACCCATTTTCATTTCTACTAGTACTTATATATCTTTTTAGTCACGTTGTCATAATTTAGTGTTCAAAAGGTGCGACAACAAGTGTGACTTGGGAGGAACAAAATAGGAACATTTTTTCAAGGACCCGAATAGAAATGCAAGTGGTACTTTAACAGATGTTTTGTTTCGTGGGATAACTTATATCGATTACAGGCGCCTCTCTCGGTGAACTGAGTAAATCTATCCGAAGAGCGGCTACTTTCATCTCCAAAGCAATATGACTACTGAAAACCAGATGATACAGCTCCATAAGACTTCTCCAGGTTAGAACATAAAGACCTCTGACAAAGATGAAGCATACAATAATTTTCCCACTCAAACTCATCAAGGTACCAGCTAAGTGAAGGGGTGTTCGTAACAAAAGTGAGGGATGAATGCACATTGTCGTATGTTTAAATGATGTTGGTGTAATAGAGGCGGGCATTGCTCTGTATACACCTGAGTTATAAAAATATTAGCCTAAAGACCTCATACAACTAAATCAATTATACGAATAGTTTAGAATAGTTGTTACTTTTACCCCTAATTAAGCTAGGTAAGATAGGACAATTGATTTACTTGTGCCAGACCTTTGGTATAATAACCTTCAATAGCGTGTACAGAGCAATGATCGCCTCTCTGCAGATTTCTTTTCAAAGACCATTCCGAAGAGCAAACCTTCCTACACTCATTCCAGAGGCATTGAGATGAATTCAGAATATGTTTCTTCAGATGATCTGAAATGGATTTTCGAGTCCGAGTCCCCTGGTTGAGCTTCGCGGCAGTATCTTTTCCCCTCCCTCTTCTGTCATGCAGTCTTTTGCTCTCCTGAGACTTGGCCCGACGACGAAGACATACTCTCTTTCTACAACTGAAGTTATCTGAGGCTGGTGTGCACGTAGAGCGAGGACCAAGCCCAATTCTCCTCAGTCTATGGTAATATGTGGCAGCTTCTACGCTTTTCTTGTTGGTACAGAGTCAAGAAAGCTGGGTAGAAGTGGACGTTGTTCTGCTTGACACCCTGGATTAGCTTAGCATAGTCACATACCTTTTTAGTTAAATAATATAACTAACAATATTAGTCACATTATTGAAAATCATGAAGTGCAATTAGGTGTTTGTATATATCTATTAAATGGTCAATCTTAAATGGTCTGGCCAAGTTGGTGAATCCAAATGACTTTACCGAACAAAGTAAATAAAGACCGACCAATAAGCCTGAAAGAAAAATCAACCACCCCAAAGAACCCCTGTAATTTCCAATAGCCACCACCCCAAACTCTGCTTTATTCTTCCAGCCACTCCTTTCTCCGTCGCACACAGATTTTCTTTGAACCCCTTCCCTTCTCGCTCCCCTCAATAAGCCTCACTTTCCTCCTCCCAACAACAGTTCTCCGTTTCCTAACGAAGATTCCTGGCAATGAGACGGTAATCCTAGTTCTCCTTCCAAACCCGTCGGTAACAACCTCTCTCTCTCGCTCCACAAACCACTCATACCCATCTTTCCTCATCCAGTCGGCCAAAAATCTTGATAGGACAGCCCACTGTCCCCAAGCCCAGCAGAAGTGTCCATCCATAGGAGAGGCCATTTGATAATTTACCCATGGATGGGTAAGGTCTCTTGTCCTGATGTGACCGCAAGGGTTGAGTCTGGGGTTGTAACAGACGTCCCAGTGGTCCAGGTCTACCGCGCCATGGAGTTCTCTGTGGATGGTGTAGAGGCGTTTGCAGGTTATCCCAAGGCAGGCTGAGAAGATGGGGTTGAGATAGTGGAAGATTCTGCGGAGTAACTCTGTGGAAAGCTTGTTGACGAGGTCACACTTGACCTTGTTAGGAGGAATGGTGGAGTGATTGGGCTTCTCCCATGTTGGGAGGGTGTTGGGTAGGTCTTGGAGTTCCAACATCTTCTTTGGTTTGGGTATGGGTAAGGATGGATGTGGAATATTGTGTGTTTTGCTTGCGAGGTGTAGAAGACCTCACGAAAGAATTTGAATTTGAGTAGATGGTGTTATTTAGAGAAAGGTGGCCAGAAAAATTGTTAGGGGTAGAAGTCAAGTCTATGATTTGCTGTGGCTGAAAATTCTGTCTTGGTTCTATTGCAGAGTACAGGCAAATGTATGTGGTGGTGGTCGCGTCACTTTAGGGCTTAGATATCATTCTTGAAAAACTACTTTACGCTACAAGCCAACTACTCCAATTCCATGGACCCACCATTGCTATGAAATGGAATTCACGAAGGGAACGTCTCAAAGAAATTGTATAGACCAAGCTGTCGTGAATGATACCAGAGCACATTGGTCTTGTCAGGCATGACGTGAATCCTTTTCATACATTGGATGTTTTTCTCAAATAAACTTTGCTAAAACGAGAAACGCTAGGCCATCAACATTTTTCATAGGTCATCTGATTGTAAAAAGTACATTCACTAAACCATAGTAAGATTGCTAGAAAAGCTTATCTTTATATATGCTAAAGAAGATCTTGGCGTTCTGAAGATGAAGAATAAATTATATTGATAGTGAATTTCAGACATGGTTGAACTTTGATGAGACTAAGGGTAGGCGTTTGGTGTCCCAACACGCAGTTCTTCACCAGACCAGCTAGTTTTGCTGAAGGTATCTATAGCAGAAACTGTGAAAAGCTTTTTGATCTTTATATACCTACTTTCCCAGAACTTAGGCCTCAATCATACCTGATCATATATAATTAAGGAAAGCTTGGGGAATAAAAAGAGATGGTTTGCCTTATAGGATGACTGAACACGATTGCCCATAGCAGTTGATTGAAAACCCACGATTAGTTCTTTTGAGCGAAACCCATACTTGTTGCCTAGGAGTGAAAGCAATCATACGGTAATAAAGGACTGTGATGAGAAATAACATTGGTTGATCAAACTCATTTGAAAGCTTTTATGAAGGGCCTCAAAAGAGAGCGTGATTTCAGTGTCGTATTTAGGCTATGGGAAGACCTGGTCGGCAAAAGCTAGCCAATATAAATACAAATCATAACAAACTATTAATATTACAAATTCTTGATACTATTACAAGAATGTACTGCACCACATGCTATAGAGAAAGAAAAGAGAGACAGGCGTCATGCGACTTTGATAATTAACTCCCTACAATCTTTTTGCAATATTAACAAGCAAACCTCCTACTACTGCAGAGATTTCAAAAACACATCTAATCCACGATTTTCGGTGAGAAAATAATTCTAGAGAGAAAAAGTCTTAGCATACTTCACCAGGAGATAAGAGACAATAGCGACAGACACTAAGAATAATAAAGCAAAAGAAGAAAGCTTGAAGGCAATGCACTCACAAGAATAAAAGTTGGAAGAAACTTCGACAGAAACCGTACACTTCCAGCCTTATATCCCCTCCATACCATCCCACCACCCTCCTTCGTCAGAATATCTCCTACAAGGGCCCTTGCGAGATCATTGATCTTCGCTCCGCCTGTGCTGTTCTCAATGGATTTAGGGTTGAAAATAAAATCCTTGATTACCAAGTACCGAGAATCCGATGGTAGTGTAGCATCACTAGAGCCGACATTTTGCGCGAAATTCGTCTGAACAATTCCTACCATCGCTGTGATAACGCTGATACCCAACGGCGCCAGTTCAAGACGCATGGTTTCCGAGATGTTGGTCAAGGCAGCTTTGGAAGAGCAGTATGCACCTGATTTGAGTCAATATACATTAGCGAGATTCTCGGACTTTATGGAAATGAATGGTTACCAATCCAAGGTGTATTGACGGCTGCACCAGCGCTACTGATCATCACAACCCGTCCCTTATTCGCAGCTAGGACATCACAGAATGCCTGCACCATCCGTACTGGACCCCAGACATTGGTATCGTAAAGCGCTTTTGCTTTCTCAATATCAACATCCAAAAGAGGCATTGAGTACCCATACCCCGCATTATTGACCAAAACATCGAGGCCTGCAGAACCAATTCGTTCAGTCACTGTAGTCACATTTTCAACCGCTTCGGTGATGGAAGGTTGAGATGTAACATCCAGTCGTAATATTGTCACGTTACTAAGAGAGGAGAGCTCCGTTGGGATTTTGCTGATGTCCCGTGCGGTTGCGAAAACGTGATGGCCTTGATTGGCGAGCTCCTGCGCGATACCTGCTCCGATGCCTCCACCGGAGCAACCTGTAATGAGGACGGTTTTTAGTTTGGTAGAAGCCATGAGACGCCAATGAACGGGTACGGAGATGCTGATGATGAAAGTAGGTACGGTATCGACTGATTAGTGTGACATCAGTCTTTTGGTGTACAAGGTTTTCACTATACCCGAAAGATAACCTTACCCGGTATTGGCCATAGGTTTGTTGGCACACCAACCGCAATCCCGGAAAGGTATCCATATTTCCGGACTTGAACTCAATTGTTAAAGGTGAATATGGTGCATTCCTGTGATTCTAACCAGTGCCCGTGCATACGGAAAATTCCATAAATCGGCTGCCCATTTTTTGAAGCATTGCTGAAAGGCAAATAAACCAAGCAATTCAGGTGCTGTTGAATAAGCTATGGATACGCTTAGATAGATTGCAATAATGGAAATATTGAAGTTGATCGGAAATAGACAAATGTAACATCAGATCTATGCACCTCTACTTCGATAAGTTTATCTAGAATTAGTTTCCTGATTCCAGGTACATAACTCACTTCCAGCTTACTACCCATGTCGGCAAGAGTGTGCTCCAAAGGGCAACACCACCTGACAAGAAGGTTGTAGATGAAACCTCTTTCACTTATACTGTAGTAATCTTGCCTAGTCTGAAGAGATTGTCATACCCAAATCATCGCTGCGCCCCTATCAAAAATGACAATATAGTAACTTGCAGAGCTAGAGCCAACGATTACAATTTCCGTCACCCAGATCCCAGCTCTGCTTATTTCGCCTCCAATGTCTTTTGCTTCCATCTCACCTTCACTGACAAAAAGGAATACAAATCTGATAAATCAATTGAAAGATACCTTGTTCTGAACCAATTTCACACAAGTAACCTAGAGAATAACACACATGGTCGCAATAGTGAGCTCCTCAGGAGAGCGGTCGAGGGATCATATGATGAGCGGCACCGGAATTGTAACAGTCAAAAGGTTGATGGATTTCTTCTGCCCCCTCAGATCTGTTTTATTCTTGCCATTGAAGTAGAGGCGGTTGCTAGTTCAGACCCGGAAAGGTAGCGAACACGGGATGCATACGGTCCATGATCACGAGGATGGATTCAGGTGTGAGTGTGCTAAAATTGTTGTCGCGTTGGGGAGCATCGGTATCTTTGCATGTTGGAGAGGGCGGCCCTGGACTGCAGTTTTCGTACTCAAACCAGACACGGACAGTGTTCTTTGAATGGGGGTGTGGAACAATAGTTGCTGATTTTGTAACGGCTATGGGATTTGGATGCGTTGCTGGCGGCATGAAAGTGATCCTTGATATCGTGGATGATAGAGAAGATTAAGACTACTGGCCAGAGGATCAAGTATCAGCCTGACGAGATTGTCTGATATGAGTTGCGAAAAAGCTTTTTGGTCCAAGGATGGAGGTAGTAATAACTGCTGAGACCCTCTTAATTGACTGTTGCGAGATGTTTTGCGATAATACGATGTAGGTGGTTGAGATGCGTTATGTGGAGTTGTTAAATGAGAAGGCTGTTCTTGATTCTTAGTCTGTTGCCTGCAAAAGCCAAAAAAATCCCAAAGGTGGATTTGACTTAGTGAGGGAAATGAGTCGGATAAAGGGAGGAAGACGCACATCGAACATAATCTCCAGTGGGTATTCAAGCAATATAAACTGACGTTCTGCTCCCTTTCAACCCTGGAGGAACAATCATGACGTCCCCCTCATTGAAATCATGTAATGACAACCAACAAACATCCGAATCATCAGGGTTTTCCAAATGATGTCTTTTTGAACTTTGGTCTCATCTGAAAGCGGTTTATGGCCAGATTTGCTAACCGAAGGCCTTATCTCATCAAAATAAAAGCCCACAAGATTTTCCAGGGTTTGTCCACTTTCTTATAAGGAGATGTTCCGGAGTACATCAGTAGGATTCGTGATATCAAGTACCATGGTGTTGATGTGGCCAGATATAACTTCTAAAACTTCGGTTTGTTGGAAGTTTTTAAGGGCTGTGTCAATCTCTAGGATAAACCTTTGTAAGCGATCTCTGGCTTCGAGTGTGAAAGTTCCCGCGTTGAACTGGGTATCATCGTTGTTCAAGCGCATCAGGATCTGTGGAAGGCCTAAGAAGCGGATATTGTGTTTATCCTCAGCACCTCCCGTGACTCTTGGAATTAATCTTCGCTGAAGCTGCTCCAGAACCCTTTTAATGGATCGGTTATCGCCAAATCTGTTTCGGAGGTTCCAAGGGTCAGTTGTAGGGTTTGGGATATAACTGAGTTTGCTTCCTTGAAGTCGAATGACCGACAATCACACTGACGAGAATCTTTCTCTATCATCTGGAGACTTGAAAGGAGTTTTACCCAACTCGCCAATTCGTCGTCTGCCGAATACATGAAGGATTTATCCGGCTGAAGAATTTCATGACTACTGCGTGTGTCATTGTAGAAGCTATTTGTTCCATCAATATAATGAATAGGACGTTTTTGAATCGGTCCGGTAGCATTCGTAGTAGGACAGCAAGAAAGCACGGGTGTCTCAAATACGACTTCAAATCGCAACTGTCTTGTTCTGAACTTGCGGGTTGTATACTTTGCCCAGGGTCCCATGACGGATCCTGAACAAGCACGCATTGCAGCTGTACTGCTGAGTGTCGAATTCCGTTGGCGAGAGATTTCGTTGGGAACTTGTAAACTCGATCCGGACTTCTTTCTACGAACTTCTGAGCCGATGCTTCTATCAGGTTTTGAAAGATGGGAAATTAGTCACATTTCATCTCCTTGGGTATTTAGTGCAGATCCTGCGTCAGAACTGGTAGGCGATAGATCGGATTGGTTCTTGCCGTATTGCGTAGCATCAGCAAGTGTTCTTCGGTAAACATGCGAATTGATAATAGCGTCATCGAATCCAAACGTGGCGGAGCCGAGGATAAAAGCGCCATCACCAAATCGCGTATCCTCTAATTGATGCGTGTCAAAAATGGATGCAGGGGCCTTGGATTGTGGATAAGCATCTCGAAGTGTTCTCGTTCGAACAGCAGCGCTTTCTAGAACATCCTCCGTGTTCTTTTCTTTGACAATTCGATGAATATCTGCTGATGTTTCACTTGTTTTGTCAATATCGATACTGTAAACTAGATTCGTCAATGATGGGGAGCCAAGGGGCTCATATTTGAAGGATTGAAACGAAGAGAGTAAGTGTGATTTGCTGCCCTCGTAAATTGTCCAAGTGACGGTTCATAGTATCCTCGTTCCACAGGAACTTGGACTTGGCTTTCCAGCTGGGGTGATCAGATTCAGCCGCATATGACCTCAGCCTCCCAACCTCAATTTCAATGCAAGAATATATCATTGCACATCCTGTCAGAGCAACATCGAAAGTAGCTTTGACTTCTATACCCGGATCTTCTTGGATCTTGGGCGATAAAGCTTCCGGGTTGGTCAGCAGTAGACATTGAATTTTTGAAAGAGTTGCGCCAATGACAGATGTCTCGGAATGAATTGCAAGAATAGTCATTTCGGCATCCTTGTATTTGTCACGTAAGTCGCTCAGAGACTTTGCTGTCTTCAGGCAGATCCCAACAATGCTAGCTACTGTGCTTGTGATGGATAACGGGTCCATGGCTGTATGTAAAGAACTGTGAGTGATATATTTTTGAGGAGGATGTACGGGGATGCCGCTCAAAGGAGGATGAACGAGGCAGCAGGGGTGCATGCATGTATGTAAGCATATTGTAACAATTCATCCATTCAGAGCCCACTAAGGCTCATCCCCCTGGACAAAGATCATCCAAAAAGGAAAAAAGAAAATGTCTCATGATAACTTTTGATAGACTATTTGAATACAATGTGAAAAGGCGATCAAGATATAAAAGTTTCATTACTCAGATACGAAGCCCAGTCAGGAACGCAGTAACTGTCCTGCTTCTGCGACCATACAAAGGCGAGACAAGATTGTATATAGATTCCTCTATCAGCGTATCAATCAATATCCCCATAATAATCTAAATGAGAAGAAATATAGAAATATACAACTTATAAGAAGTGGTAGTGAATCACATAAATTACTATAACATAACCTCACAGGTCTGCTGCGCAGCCTTAAGCGAGTCATGACACATGGGTAACTTCAGTGCCGCTATTTTTAGCCATTCACTGCTCCATGTTGCCCCTTAAGTAAGCGAATGGACTTTTGTTCAACTGTAAAGCCTGCGTTTGCAAAATCATGGTCCATTGATAAGTGTTATAAATAGTAGTCTTCCTTTCATAATGAGATTCATATAACCTTTGAGTATAGCAGAGCCTAGATTTAGCTCATTAATACGTCATCCTCAATCATTCCATGAAAATCCCCTTTTCCCTCAAGAATCCCTCTCCAAGTTTGATTACTTATTTTAAGCACTCATACGTAATTCGCCCAATTTAAGCGACCACAGCTGGCGAAAAAGCAGAAAGGGTGTGAAGCGTACTAATATATGTAGAAGGTTATACCGTGGTCCATTTACAAGCCAATTTGATTCCAAATTCATGATTATTCACACTTGGTAGATTCTCTTTTCCTTTTCCATTGTAAACTTGTATAGCAGGAGAACTGTATGTGTCTTTTCTTCTTAGATCCAAAATGAAAAACATATGATGTGTTCTCGATGAGGAGCAGATGAAGTATTCAATGGGGTATGTACATATACGTCAACTGCTAGGTAAGATAGGTTAAATGCATGGTTTATATTTTCTTATATTAATATGCATTTTTCATAGCTGACCACTGCCAATATTGTAAGTTGTTTGATGTGATCATCGTTGCATTTGACTCGCAGACATGACAAATTTAACCGAAGAAATACGCACTTTGATGAAATCTCGACGCCTTTGGCAAATCTTCAAACCCACCAGCAGCTGTTCCTACTCCCCAAAACTCAGAATAAGCATGAGGCAGGCGCGGAAGGGCAAAGTGGACCTCGAGACTCACCTTATGGTCACGTGGACATGCGATTTGCAATACAGGAGGAAGGTACGATGGGGACGCGGTTACCCACCTTCACCTGCATTCAACCTCATCTTCAACCTTTGACTTTTCTTTTCTTCTCCCCACTCCTCTCCAGCAAACAGACAACCACATTCATTTTTCTCCATTCCCCAACTTCAACCTTCCACCCATCGATGCGCGCAGATCATCCCGTCATGGTCAAGGTCTTCAAACATCTCTAAACGACTTCACTTCCGCGGATACTATACCACATTGGTTCATCATGGATGGCGCGTACGGCGACGAGGATGCTCCAATTAGAGGAACTTTGTAAGTTTGTTTGCATCGCTCCATGACCTCACTTTTCGATTCGAGTCCCGTTGGAGAAGGACTCGAGTAGCCTGCACAATCAACATTCAAAGCCCCTCGCTCAGATCGGCGTAGACCAATCAATTGCTGACATCTTCAGGGAGTATGTCATCAACCATGTCTTTCTACCCCCACAGCTTCCGCAAACAAACGACACCGACCCCCAGAACGAAGCTGGCTTGACAAAGCTATTTCACGATACATTAACGGAGTTCATAGATCTTCTCCCAGGAGAAGATCAAAATGACTGGATCCCAAGCTCTGAAATGCTAAAGGTGTTAATTGAAGAGGATGGCTCCGAAAGCCCACTCAGAAATCTTGTTCAGCAGCTTGATGATATGGACGAGAGAGGTGTGTGGCTTCTTTCCCAAACCATTTTAAGTTGTTCTTTCCCATTAAGACTGATGATACCCTAGATTCCTTGGCTCTTCATTCCACCCAACATAATGCAGGGCTTGTGGTCCGAAAGGGATCAGAAAACTTCACAATCGAAACCTTCGAGCTTTCGCCAACTAGTAAATCTGTGACGCTCGCCCTCGGCAGACTCGTTCGCAGATTTCCGGGACCTGTTATCGCAGTTTCCCATGCGCGGATGCAGGATCTTAACTTTCGACAAGCCCTCACAAATTGTTCATGATATATTTACTGGCCACTGTCCTCCAACAAGCAGTGGTGAATGAAGACAAAAGTGATCGTATTCAGGTGATGTTAGCCAAGATACATCGGCGATTTCAGAAATTGGACCTCATCATCTGCGATGAGGTACCCTGGGCTGAAGCATCGTATGAGTTCGTTACGGAAACTATGGAATCTGCGCGAAGCCTACTGGCAAGACGATGGAGTACCGTTAAAAGAACATCCGAGTCAGCAGGTACGTTCAAGCCATCTGAGCTAAGAAGACTCAAGCCGCAATTACATACAAAACTTGATATTCCTTCGTTGCGACCGTATTTGCAACGCCTTCACAGCATTGCAATTCAACCACGGGATGGGAAAGCCTTTGACGGCAAGTGCAATAAGCGTAGCAATAGAGAATCACTTTCTTTACCAGATCTAGGGACACTTGTTCTTGCATCGGATGAAGAAATACGACTTTGCTTGATGGACCTCGAGCTCTGGGTTTCTAAGTCCCTTGGCTCATGGCTGGACCGCCACAGGAACTCAGAGTCGGAGTTGGTGAAATTGACCAACATCAACTGGTATAAGATCAAGTCTGCTGCCGCATATTTGGGATCCCCAGAAAATATTTCACTCATGATCTTAACCCTGTTTTTGCTATGGACTGCACTCGATCAAGCTGCTGTCTTCCACTACACCCTCCTGAAAAAGTTTGACCATGGCTTCCCGGATGGTTTGTTGGACTCACTCCTTTTACCTAAACGTCACCAGATGGCCCAGCTGCGTGATGCCGAAAAGAATCTTAATCAACGAAAGCTCAACTGCTTGCCCGCCAACCCTTCAATATTTAGCGATATCACGTCCCCGAAAAGTTTTGGGGCTCAATATTTTGACCAGTCTCTTATGCACCAAGAGCTGAAAAGACGTATCGAATTGGAAGCTAATAAGAAAGCCGAAGAGACGAAGGCTGAATTGAGAAGACAGAAAGAGAAATTCAAGCGCCTAATGGCCGAGTCAAATGCATTGACATGTGAGTACAAAAAACAGTGGTATGGAAGAGGTAGATTCCGAGAAGAGCGGACCGTTCACGATGCAAGATGCACCAAATGTAATTTGAGAGACGAAGCCCAATCTCTTAAGGTTTATATCCACGAGTGGCCTCTGCCCTCATCAGAGCCTGCCGCCAAAGCCGTGGTATACGACTTAGAAGTTCCAGAACTGCTTCGCTGCTGGAGATCAATGACATATCAAATACTTGCAGACGTGCTAAGTCCTACTGTACCTCCTGAGAACAGAGGAAAGGGCATCGTTTTTGCCGAATACGAGGACCTTGCAGATTACTTTAAATCAATACGTGACAGACATCAGTTCTGTTCAATAAAGACGCCATTTTCCAAAACCCAGCCATATCAGACCGTTGGAGAAGCAACGGAGGACTCTATCTGCCGCCCCAACAACTTGATCTTTGTCATGCAGGACTCGAAATCCAAAACGGCTACAACTGAACAACTCAAGAAGTTTGATATCCACGAAAGATGTACTTTGAAGCTTCCACCAGGCTGTTATGAAACACTTCAGTACGCCCTGGCTGGAACCAATCATACCCACAATGAAGTCATTGCGAAACAAGCGTTGTGTCCTCAGAGTTTAACTGTGCATGAACTCCACGCCTTCACAGCATTACGCCGTGGTTACAGAATACAGGTAATATCGCTAAATCCTTTTGTGAAATGCATATACTGAATAAGTGAGCTAGTAGATTAATATTGCACGGGAACTTGCTGCAAGAACTCTGATTTTCGGGGCAGAAGAGGTTCATCTACTTGTGCTCCAATCCTCCTTGCAAGCCGGGCCTTCTGGTATGTCCACATCTCTCTTCCCGTTACTCTTGCATGCTAATCTCTCTATAGCTGGCGAGCAAGTCTCTCGACAGTCTCATGTCGAAATTGAAGAGGAAAGTTTCGGGAAAGACCTTCTTGATACTTTGGAATCAGGCTTGAAGTCAGTAGAAAGGAATTGGCAATTTGGTAAGGTTCTGTAGCCACCTTGACATTCACTTCATTAACAGTAAGCGTCCTTGTCCTATATTATGGCTTAGCTGATTCTCGCCAAGATGCGACTCCTAACGATCTCTCTCCACGACTCTATCCGACGTCAGTGTCTGAATTTACTCCAAAGACCGAGAGATATCACAATAGATTGGCTGCGAAGTGTTGACAAGCTCCTTCATGAGTGTTCTGACGAAGAGGAAATTGCTTACCTCACGCTTTGCGCTTTTGACTTATCATTAATATGTCATTGCACCTTCGATGTTGATGCTCGCATAATGTCTTCTGTTCTCTCCACTGAACGAAATGTGGCGATCTTGGTGGAAACCATCACTATTGCAAAAGGCCATTGGCCGGTGTCGATGAATGGGTTAACACCGCTGACCCGCACGCTTATTTTTCGTTTTTACAGAACATCTCACACGGTGGAACACGTCTTGAAGAGTCATATTCTGAACTCTCCAGGAGGCATCAATCAAGCGATAAAACAACATTGGGAGGGGTATTCACCTGGGACGCCTTGGTCATGCTTAGATAAACCAGAGGATCGATGGCTGAAGACTGACACAGCGGGATCAGATAACAGTCCTCCTATGACTGTCCATTTCAATACCTTGACTGGCGAGTTGCTGGTCAATGGAGCCCCGTTGAGTCGAATTCCCAGAGAATATGAGGCGCACCAAACTTATCAAAGATTGTTTGGGAACAAGATTCTGGAAGTTTTTCCGTCTGGCAAGGGTTTGCATTTCGAGACCAAGAACACCGTGTATGGCTTTGAGGTACGAGTTTCGATTCATTATACTGCGTTTTACTTTCAAATTTCTGAATTTCTGACCACATATCACGTTATACTCGGCGCTGCGTTTTAATGAACACCCGTTGAAATTCTTGCCGGACCAAAGCTCACAAAATTTACAGGTTCACTTCGCTCTATTTGAAGATGAATTGATTGTTAGAGCAGCCCATGGCCATGAGTTATACGAGGTAATCCCTCTCACCACTCTAGAGAACGACTTTCCACGCGCTTTTGTCAAAGATTATGTACATTGGGTACATCGTGGGACTGATTCCATTGAGTGGAGGCCGATCGACACGAAATGGACCCCTTCGTCTAAAAATTGGCGAATCTTAACACCTGAAGACCCACGGGAAAGCCGATTAATATCAGGAGCTCAACAACTAATAGATATCAAAAGTCCCACAGCCAACGCGGTATACAATTGGCTTCTTCCAATCGAGAAACAAGGTAACATCGTCATCACCTACAACACTGAAACCAAAGAAACCGAAATTCGTCTTCCAAGATTGAATTTAGACTTCGTTCTACGAAACAAGGGACTTGAATCCAAGCAATTTCGAGGAATGATTGTGGACACGAGCCAACACAAGGGAACTTTACATGGTCTACAAAATAAATTGGTCTTGAAGGGTATTCAAGAAAATTCGAGAATTGTCATCATTCCGCAAGGCAATATCTCATATTCTCGAACTGGGCACCACCTCAAAATTCTTATCGACACAGGAGAAAATGAAAAAGTCTCTTACCACCAGTATTTGATCGATAAAGACCTTGGTCAGCTAACCGACAGTGGAAACCTCAGCAGCCGCTTGTTTAAGTTATACCTGCATGCTCTGACTTCACACTGTCTCCCCGATACTCTCACTTCGAGAACGGGGACTGAAGAGGCACTACATGGGTTGAGGCTCGCAAGCACCCGTTCCTTCATCGCCTTAAACCAGGAGCAGATTGAGCGATTGAAGCTCCTTGCAAGGCTTACGCCTATGCGTGACTATGCCCCAAAAGGACATAAATTTATGCAAACAGTAACCTGGGACAAGGATCTATCCCAGTTATCTCAGCATGAAGAGTTTGTTGTGGAGTCTCATCGTATCGTCGCTCAAGCTCAGTCTTTCCGAAAATTTACTTCTACCCCATCAGACGAAAAATACAGTGTCGAAGGAAGAGGAGCAAGTGAGCTCCGAGCTCGAGCTGGGATGCGCAATGCATTGTTTCGCGTACATCCCTTTGGAGCTGAGAAGTTCAACGCAAACAGCGACGTGGCCTATTCCGACGCCAGAGACTCGATCATCAACAGCGCTCGTGAGCATGATGCGTACAACATCTCCGTCATGGTTGATGGATGGAGTTGTAATCTTGAACCGTACAACGATCTTTTGGAGGAGATTCGACGCTGGGACAGTACGGTATGTGGGCCACAAAACCAATTCGAGTTCAACATCGACTTCAAACACTTGTTACTGAGACAGATGAACCGCTGGTAGATACGGAATCTCAAAAGCTAAAGTCGCTACTAGCGAAGCTTTCGAAATCGGCAAAGGGTTCCTATCAACAGATGTACCTCCGTGATTTACGTAAAAGTCGCCATGCCCTTCTTGAAAATGTCCCTCCAAGATAGCAAATAACAGGAAATAACCAAGCTTTTCTTAAGACTCATCTGATTCGATGCAGAAACGAGGCGGATGAAATGTACAAGAAGATATATGCAAGGCTTGTTGTTTCTGGTAGGTCGAGCCTTGTCCCTCAATACCGGAGTTCCCAAGTACAGACCTGTTCTATGGACGAATTTCTGACAGACTCTAGGTATACCTCTTTACGAAAGTGCTCTTAGAGCTTCAATACTCCCACGCTTGTCGCCAAGCATTCTCATAGGTCTACTTGCTCGATTCAATGCCGTGCAATTGACCCCGGCGTGGAAAACGGCCATAGTTTATTACGCCATGGCTCTTGCGAATATACAGAAGGCGGAGCGACTTGTAGCATGTGGAAAGAGAGACGTGGATATCCTGAACGAGCTAACGAATGTCGGCCACGCGAACTGGGATCCGATGGAATTTCCTGAATGGCTCCTGTTGGAGTTAGAGAGTAATATTCTCATCCGACCAGAACAAGCTCAGATTGCTCGCGAGATGATCGCGCCTCGGTCTGGAACAAACGCAATCATGCAACTCAATATGGGCTTAGGGAAGTCGTCGGTAATTGTTCCACTCGTTTCAGCAACTCTGGCGGATGGTTCAAAGCTCGCCAGAGTTATTGCTCTAAAGTCGCTCACCGAGCAAATGTTTCAGCTCTTGGTCAAGAAATTAGGTGGACTAATCGGCCGACGCGTTTATCGACTACCAATATCTAGATCATTGAGGCCATCTTTGTCTTCCGCGGTGTTGATACAAAAGACCTATGAAGCATGCATGACCTCTGGAGGAATCCTTCTCGTGGAGCCTGAAACACTTTTGTCTTTTGAACTTTTGGGTCTCGACTATTTGTTATCTCGGGAAATGAATCCGCCTGAGCCTGAAGCGAATTTGATACCAGTCAAAGAAGACAATAACGAAGACATTCAGGGATCGATGTACGATACAGGCCGCCAACTGGTACATACCCAAAGTTGGCTTTACACGAATGCCAGAGATGTACTTAATGAATCTGACGAAATATTAAGTGTCAAATTCGAGCTCATCCACACACTCGGTATTCAACAAAATATTTCCTTTAGCCCAGATCGATGGGTCGCTATCCAACACGTCCTGGGTGTAGTCTCTGAGCTTGCTAGAGAGGTATCCATCGACTTCCCCCAAGGCATTAAAGCTATTGAAGGAAAGGCTGGTGCATTCCCCCGCGTTCGAATATTGGAGGAAACAGGTGGCAAATCTCTTCTCAATAAGGTTGCACGCTCTATATGCAGAGACGGAATGTCTTCTTTAGCAATTTGGACCTATAGCCAGGAAGAAAGAGAGGTTATATTCGAGTATATCACAAACCTTCAAATCACAAAGGAGCGAGCAGCAATACTCGAGACCAAGGTGTTCCAAACCAACTTTACCAAGATGACTCTGCTTTTGCTTCGGGGGATGTTCGGGGTAGGTGTGTTGGAATTTGTCTTCGCCAAAAAGAGATGGCGCGTCAATTATGGTTTATCACTTTCACGGTCAATGCTTGCGGTGCCATACCACGCCAAGGACAATGTGGGTAGAAGTTTCCCTTGCGAAATTGTGTTGAAGGCTACAATGGCGCACTTGCTAATCATTTAAATACTTAGCCAAGCGCCCGATCAGAATTTTCCCATCCCGATACTGCCACATGTCTAACGTGTCTTTCATATTACTATGAGGGACTTACGGATGCACAAATTCGCGCGAGTTTTGAAGAATTATTCCTTTCTGATTATGCAGAGGAAGATTACTCGCGCTGGATCCAAAGATGCGAGGTTATGCCAAATGAATTCAAGCAGTTAGCTGGAATAAATCTTCGAGATAAGCAGCAATGCTCCCAAGAACTCTTTCTTTGGCTTCGCTACTCAAAGGGACTCATCGACTACTATTTGGAACATCTTGTGTTCCCGAAAGAGATGAAAGAATTTGGCAACAAACTCTCCTCATCTGGTTGGGTAAAACGCCCCCAGTCGTTAAAATTGGCTCCGCTAACGTACAATTGATAGGAAATTGCTCGACAAAAGACTCACCCTACCACAGGTTTTAGTGGCACCAATGACAGCAAATACATGTTACCGACTCCTATAAAGCAATGTGAACTCCCAGAGCAACTGTCCACTAACGCGGATGTCTTGACGTGCATGCTCCGACCAGAAAACAAGTACGACACCACGCATTTGGAATCTCTGGATGTCTCTTCCCTTCTCGATGTTGCAGTCACGATGGATCCCTCTATTCGCGTCGTGCTTAACGTAGAGGCTCAGCTCCTGGAAGATAATGAAAAGATTGCATCGCTCTGGTTAGAAAAGGTTGATCTCAATGATGCTGATGCGGTGATATTCTTTCATGAGAATGATTTGTTTGTGGTCAACCGCGAAGGACACAAAGAGTCATTGCTAGTCTCTCCATTTTTGAAACAAATGAAAAGATGCCTTGTGTACCTCGACGAGGCCCACACGCGAGGTACTGACTTGAAGATGCCTCCTGACTATCGTGAAATTTGTACTCTGGGCCCCGATCTCACTAAAGATAGACTTGCGCAAGGTACGTACACTTTTGACTATTTATTCTTCTCCGAAGCCCCCTCCCCCCTTGATTCAGCGACACATCAATGATGATTTTGATTTGTGGAGACCTCTGAGAAAATTCCGCAACTAGCGAATCTCATGTTTTTGCATTTGTTTTTTCAACATCTAAACTTTTGCATTGAATCATCTTTTCAATTGTCTTACACCATAGAACTAACCTCTGGCTTTTTTTAGCATGCAAGCGCCTACGAAAACTCGGAAAAGGACAATCTGTGGTTTTCGTAGCACGCCAGAAGTGCAGACCAAGATCCTTCACTGTTGTGGTAAGAATAATGCAGAATTGATTGGAGTTGAGGATGTGCTACTTTGGACCATACAAAATTCCTGGGAATTCACTAAAAGGGGCGTGCCACTTTGGGCGACCCAAGGCATGAGACATTATCGACGTGCAGTTGCTTGCGACCTATCCGGAGACGAACCACAAATACCAATGGGGATTTTAGAAAAAGAGGCCATGACGCTTGACGAGCGATAAGGCCTTGACAGAAAGTCGTTGGAGGAAGGAGTGGTTTGCCGGGGTCGGTTTGCAAGCGTGGAGAACCTGGCACGCGCTGAACTTGCATCCGTTCGAGCCAAGTGTCGAGAATTCGAACTTGGTGACTTCGGTGATTCTGATCTCCACGAAGAGCAGGAGCGTGAGCTGCACCCAGAGAATGAACGAGAGCAACAAGTTGAAGCACCTCCTCCCGCGCGGCCCTATGTCCACAAATTGCACGACAACATCCGACGACTCGTCAACAGCGGCCGGCTGTTGTCTGATGATGGTATTTTACCAGCCTTCAAAGTATTTGACCTTACTCGTACTCGAGAGTTGCTGGACGTCGACAATTGGCCCAGAAATCTTTTAATATCTCAAGGTTTCTACCACACAGTCCAAATTCCCAACGAGGGTAATAAAGACTCATTTTTGAGACCGGTCAACTGGGTTTTATCATTCCAAAATGTAAATCAACAGCCCATGTACTTAATTCTCAGCCCGTTTGAGGTACAGGAGTTGTTGCCATTCATGAGAGGTTCAGAATATGTCCGTCTTGACGTGTACACTCCTCGGCTCAGTCTTTCAAATCGCAGTCTGGAATGCTTATCTTTCTGCTCGATTCCTCCTGTTCCTGCGCATTGGACTATTCCAGAGATATCCACACATTTGAACTTATTTTCTGGTCAATTGTATCTTCGCGACGAAACAGAATACCGGACCCTGTGCCGCTTCCTCGGACTGAGATTTAAACATCCGTATCAGGGCGTGGAAGTAGGAGGTGATGGTTTCATCTCTCCAGGCAGTCGGCGATTGCAAGATTAACAGACGGCTGATATTTGCAAGTTTGATCATAGTCCGGTTGGCTTTCTTCGTCTGGTGACGGCATTTCGTAGACTCGGTCAGTCGTTGACGAATTCGCATATGGGTAGGATGCTTAGTGGAGAGTTGATTTGGACGGCTTTCAAAGATTTGAGATAAATCGGGTCAAGATTGATGAGGATGCGATGAATTTGGATGATGATATTATTGTCATCAAGGCGGAAGGATGAATGGGAGAGGATATTTCGTTACTGATGCGGAATAATTTTAGAGGAAAAGGGGAAGTGCTTCTTCTCATTACTTGCTGTGGAATTTGGGAATATTTGGTGGTCTTTGAGATGAGATTTACAATTATTATGGGGCGGGCACCTTTTCATGGCTTTTGCTTGTTATTAGATGATACCTACCATATGTGCGCGCTTTTTCATAAGATCGCTATCGGACTTTGAGAGGGAAATCTCATCGCTCTGAATTAGTTGAGACAGTCAATTGAGCCTATTTACAGATATTCCTGCTTTTGAGTGGTGGTTACTATTTGTCCTCTTCGATCTTGTGATACATCATCATCTTAGTTGAGGTCACTGGCTTGCATGTTTCGCCCCGATGTTTTTTACCTTCACTTGAGATATTGTTTTTGGCACTATAATGTAATTGCTTATGGCCTCCAGAGACGAAATACTTAAGGATATGACCAGAGTATAGTTCTGCTTGCTTCAATTCTCTATTGGTTTCTTACCATGTCAGGCTGAGATCTGTGTAGGGATTATGTTTAAAATTGAAGTTGTCGAATTGATGGGGTGCCATTGCCAAGGAGAGAGTCTCAAGCTTCGGATTGCGGACACTTGACGCAAGCGGCTTTGGGTGGACTTTAAACGCTCCAAGAGGAGCATGTCGTGGCGAGCAGGTGAAATATGAGTGTTGCGGAGAGACTTAGTTATGTGTCTTGGTCTTTTTGTTGTCGGCGAAGAAGCGTCTCATGAACAACAGTTGCCAGGAAGTATGCGAATGCCATCGAGATACACGGGGTCAAGTCATCGAGCAGCGGCCAGAACATTTCGCTTTCTGCCCGCGCATTTCTCAAATCCCCATCCTGACATCGCTTCACCTCAACCACCACATCTAGATTCACCTTTACATTCCCAGCCCTCACCTCACCATCGACACAACCCCCCTTCCCTGTCCTCTAACATTTGAAATAAGACGTTTCTGGGCACGTCGAATCATTGTCGGCATCGGGGCGTAGTGGGAAACAGGGGGCATAGTATGGTGGATAAAATTTCAGACGACCGGTTTAGTACGTTGCTTGCAATCGAGCTGCCCGTCGGTGTTGTATGATACGGTGTGCGACCTTATACCTACGGAGGTACCACTGACTATATATGATTCATTTTTGCAATTTTTTTTGTGGTTTTCTTCGTCGTGTTGTTGGTGTTTTTACTTGGGACTTGGTGGGGTTGAGAGCTGGGAGGGAGGTGGAGGTGGTTTTGTGTGTTACACGAGGTGTGGAGGGGGTACGTGAGTGAATGATTTGGTTTGTGGAGTTTGTGTGGCAGTTACTTTTATGGAAAGAAGCTTTTTGAAGTACGAATAGAAGACTCGAAGTCTTTTTTAGCTGCTTAGTAATCTCTAATATGCCCTCACGATGTCAAGTCAATGGTTTTTTGAAATGTTGTTGCCGCCCCACTTTTGTCGCGTAATTGGCAAGTGGGACAAAACATCGTCGTGAGGTCGCCTCCAGGAAGCTTTGACCCTAAGCAACCTCATCTCCTTCGTGGGAATTTTTCACATCGCACAAGTTGCTTGAGTTGTGCTGGCTGTCACTATTTTCAGCACATAATATGGAACTTTTAATTGCCTTGCTCATTAGTTCTCCTTGGTATATGACTTTGATGAACTATCGATTTTCGAGATTCGGAACACATCGCGAGTCGTTTGCTCTTCGAGCTTCTAGGAACTAGTTGAGTTCTTAGAGGAGCAATAACTTTTCGGATAATCTCCTTGTTCTGGGTGAGAGGTAACAGGTTCCCTGAAAGACTTTTGCGTTTTACGGGGTGTGCTGTCTAAAGGGTGTTACTAAGTTTTAGTGTATGTCTCTTTGAAGACATCCTAGAAGTGGAGCGAAGCAGAGGTAGACCAAAGAACGAGCACGGAGTACACATACCAGTCCGTTTAGAACGATTATCAAACTCATCTTAGAACTATCTAGTAGTATATAGAATGAGGGATTAGGGTTAAATAGATGAGACTTGACTAACCTTCAACAATATTCTGGATGTCAGATGTAGATGGAAAATCTCCCCAAAACTGTAAAATGTATAGTGCAAAGACGCCAAAACTTGCTGTGATAGTGGACCTGTTGGGTGTGATACGCAGCTACTGGTCCATCCTGGTTGACAATCTGAGCTTGGATTTGGTAAAGACTTTGGCAGAGAACCTTAGCAGATTAAAATTGCTGCTTGTAAAGAAGCTGCCGTTCATCGTTGTTGGTTTAACTTAACTTGAGCCGTCGCCTGATTTCAAAGGTGAAGTTGGGCTAATGATAACATAATGGAGCGACCTCGCCTTCAAATTTCCCTATCCTTGTAAAAGGGCTAGCGTACGCACAGACACTCTGCAGAGACAATAGCTTTCCAATTCTTTCAACCTTCAACCTTCAACCTTACCCTCAACCTCAACCTCAATTAGACACCACCATTTCCCGCCGACGATTGACCTTCGCTCCCTTCAACTGTCCTCTCGAACCGCTCAATTGAACCACTCCTATCCATCACGAATTACTAGTACCCACCCACTGATGGTGCTCAAGATCCTCAACAAACCACATCCCCTCACCCTAATTGACATCTCGAAACTCAACATCTGTGCAGAAGTATGAATGCCCACTTTCGAGAGGTGGCGATGCGCCATACCCACACGGCAATGGTAGACTTTGCCATTTGTAAGAGGTATCGGTTATATACAGAGTGTATATAAGACAGTGGAAGTAAGATGGTCAGATGACTGTTATGTACATCGGGAATCAAAAGAGTAAGAATTTGACTTGTGAAAATGACTTGATTTTTCTAACTACAAGAACAGTAAAGGTCTATATATACTCCTTAGATAGATTCTAGGAGGTTCTATAGATTCTAAATAGAATAGAAGTGCTTATAAATAGAAAGAGATACTAGAATGTTTCGGTTCATGTGATCGAACGTTCTAGAATAAGGGAGAACAGACTAAGGTTTAAACCTAAAGTCTATTAGTAAGTAAGGTAATTATTACCTAAATGAAACACCATTCAGCAGATCATATCCGGGAACTTCCATCCTATGATGACTTCTGCAGAAGAGGTGAATATTCCCATACCTTACAATGCGACACTATACTAGTCACTGTCTTTCAATCTAGCTCGCAGATTCCAAATCATTACTGAGATACGTAATCTACAGTGCAACGCCATCGTTGGAGAAAGCATCAGAGCAATTCCGCTCCGCCACAAACAACAAAAAGGGCAATTACCAAGATAAGTGGCTAAAATGGCTCGTCATGTTCCATACGGCGAGAAACAACTGCCTATCAGACATCAATGCTCGAGTCACTATCCCAGATGATTCGGAGACCGCCGACCCCTACTACACTCTTATCAAGTCAAGTCTTATCAAAGTCGCCCGGAAAGCTCAAAGTGAATCTTTGAAGCAGCTCTTCAAGCTGGTCAAGGTTATCGTGGGACATTTTACAGGCGCATTCGGAGAGGCTTTCTGGGAAACAACCTCGCGGGAGCAACGATGCAGTATCTTCGGCGCATGTTTTGACTCTCACCCGATTTGGGTAATGAAATACTATCGACCAAAGGAGTTCGCGGCAGTGGACTTTGGAGCGATTTGGGCCAAGGAGACACCAGATCGGCACCGCTGGAGACGCTTTTATCGCAATCAGTTCATTGATATGGCTGACTCTACATACACCCACCGCATTACAACGCCGAATGATGAAGGGCTGCTGGCTGTAACTCATTTGTGGAAAGATTGGCCCAGACAGCAAAAGGTGCTGGCCTGGCAGATGGGCAACGACTCATACGAGTTACCCGGATTAGTTGGAGGTCCTGATCATCGATATGAAGAAGAGCAAGCTATGCATGATGAAAGACTCCATATGAATTGTCCAGGAGCGGGCGCTGGAAATTTCAGAACCCCAAGTCATTAAACGTAAGGAGAGAAGTAGGTTTCCGGTTGTCCAGTTATTGTACACCTGTACCAATAATCCTGCTTTCTGTAGGATACAAGGGTTAGGGTACAAGAGTGACTGAAGGTAAGAGGAAGGAGACTATGCTTTACAAAAAATGGGCTTTTCTTTGCTTGCTCGTCCAGTTACATAATAAATTTAACAATCTCTGGCATTGCTTTACTAACTTCATATGCATGAGACGATCAGATCCCAAGTGAGATGAAGAGGAACCCATCGATAATTCGGGGGCCAATGAAAACGTCAGATTGCCTGGAAAGCGGCATAGTTTCAGACAGCAAGGTTAGATTGATGATGATAATATAAAAGAATATATTAAGGTGATGGTTTTTATGTACCAGAACTCTGAAGGAGAACTGGCTTATATAGTGGCTGGTATGACATAAGCTGGTCACATGACCACTTGCTTCATCATATTTGAGTACCCGGCGAAGTAGGTGCTGGTGTAATCGATCCAGTTTGGGCACTCGCTTGTGATAAGAATGCTAACTCTTGAAGACTCATTGCCACTTTCGGAAAACTGGGCAATAGCAACCATACCTGTACTCCAAAAACTCACTTTCCTTAAGAGGCAGAGGCGGGGAGACTCGTGGCTTTGGACACTAACGAACATGTAGCAAGGAGATGGGATCACGCTATCATACTTCAGTGCCTTCTCTGATGTGCATATAATACGGATAAACACTGCTGGTCTATTTTATTCCCTGAAATTCATAATACTTGTTTCGTGCTACACTGGGTTTGTTAATAGGACCACTAGATACGGACTAAGTATTGCCGAGAGTCACTTGCTTCCAGTAAGCTGACTCTTTTGTCTGTTTCATGATATTTGCGTCGTTTAACTGAAATCTGGAATATCTCGCTTAAGTGGGACGGCAATGAACTAATAAGATAAAGGTGGGGATAGAGATCGCTAAAGCTTCTGCGGGTCTGGAAGTTCTTCGAATGACAAATGACATCAGAGAGTAAGACGGAAGGCTTGTAAGCGTTTGAGCGGAATGGGCTTCCTGCGCAAACCAGAAGCTTGACATTGACAGTGTAAGGGTGCCGGTGTTTTACTCCCCGCATGACGAGAAATGCCCCTATCTTATATCTATGTATTTTCCCATGTTCCATTTCGTTCTCTTCCGTATTATAACATTCTTTTTACGAAGGCGTGGATGAGATTGGCTGAGTTGATTAGTAAAGCATAATTAGGAGAGTACATTGGTCAGTCAGCATGACGAAGTTAAAGCTGACCGCCAAATCAATCTTATATTGTCTTCCAAGACCACAAATACTGCCAAGATGGTGTATTTTGCTTAGGTGGAGTTTGGGAGAGGTTTCTGTCTAATATGTTATCTTAAAAGAGAGACCGACAGGCAAGGGCAGGAGTGGGGGATATAGACCTCGGAACCATAACCATAACACCGAGCCGCTACTTCTCTGCCGTCATTACCCGAACCGACTTAGCTGTACTCCCTCCGAACGAAACTTGGCGCACGATCAATGATTCTGTACGAGGTCACATTGCTTGGAAGTTTGTCACATATTAGGGTCCCATAAGCTTGGCATGGGAGAATGATTCGCTGGTCTCGACGGTGGATGTGGAGGTATCTTTGACGCCTGAAGTGGGTGAAATGAATTTAGAGTCTTGAAATAAAATGCTAATCAGATCAAAGTGGATTGGGTCGAAGCAGAAGAGGGGCGTTACGTTCAAGGAGAGCGAAGGGGATACTTTGATGATTTTGAATCCGTTTAGAGTAAGTAGGATAAAGTATCCTTTGTTGTAATTGGCCTGCTAACCTATGGTAAAAAGGATGATGGTCCGAGCGGTACCTTTCTATACTGGCAACGGAAGGAAGGATTTCTAGACATACTACAAAGATGTCCAATTAAGAGCGAGATAAAATAGAAGTTTTTACTCTTTTGTGATGTATTTAGTAAGGCGATCGGAAATGGTGCCGGGTAAGTATTTAAATCGCGATACAAGGTGGTATATTGAGCATAATCTTTAAGTAGGAAGTAACTCCACGTTACTAGTAACAAAGCTTGTTTACTTTTCTAATAGATTATAACTTGGATGCTGGGTTTATGCCCAAAAGACTATGTCAAAACGAACTACAATCTCAAGAAAGGCCCCGACGATACTTCCCGCCAGATGGTGGCTCTTCATTCGAAAATATCCTTTGACTCAAACCTGGATCTCGAATACCACCTCAAAGGTGCTTAACTTTGCGAACACGCAGCGAAGCTAGAGTTTAAGAACAGATGTCTCAATGGCTCTTGGATATTTGAATCAAGGATTCCACCTCGCACATGGGTCTTCATACTTAATGTCAATATTCCTATGAATGAGGAATATTCAAATACCCTCCCGCCCGAGCACGAGCACGTCGCGAATGTCTTTACTGGCGCAAATGTCAAAAAGAATACAAAAGTTCGCCCAACAGGCGTGCATACAGATGCACAAGAACTCTGCCCTCGCTAGAGGCATTGCGCGACACTTGAATTGATCAAAATGAGGCCCTCTTCGCCGTTATAGAAAGGGTGTTTCGCAGGTGATTAGACCGCCTATCAAATGACGTGGTTATTATTCTGTATATATCTCTTTAAGAATAATATTATCCTAAAAGCCTCGTATAAGTTAACTAAAACAGTTATATAAGGAGCTTGTAATAATTACTAACTCTTACTTTTGATTATGCTAGGTATCCTAATACAACTATTTTACTTGTGCTAGAAGTTTAGTATAACAACTTTTCATAGAGAGTGTACAGATTAATTAATAATTAACAACTAGGTCCTTTACCAAAAAAAGGTCTGGTGCTAGCAAAAGTTACTATATATGTAGCTGCCATTAGCGAGATGTTCTCCGAGAAGTTTCGAAGAAACCCCCCTGGTAGTCCCTAGGAAGGGTTCAATTGAAGGTCGACTCGTGGTCGTGTAGTAGGCGCACAAGTTTCCCAGTTTATAGGCCCTTATTTGTGTATATATCTCGTACCAGGCACTTCGCTCTGTGTAGATACATACGGTATTATGTATTCAGTCACGTAGCTCGAACACCAGTAGTTTCCAAGCTGCTCATGGGATCTGGTAGCAACAAATTCCTCATGTATTAAACTCATCTCTTTCAGGTCACTCAGTCTCCTTCGTCGAATTCAAGTCCTTTAGCACGCCCTCACTGGGGTTGCTTGATCACTTCCAAGATTGAACCTGGCACGTATGCAGAGAGATGGGCCAATACGGTTCATGTAGACCGATCTTCGACTGAAAAATCGAGTGTCCATACTTCGCAGTTGAACGCTGTTAGAGCAACTATCACACGTCTGATAGTTACACCACCCAATCGAGAGCCAGTGACAATCGTCAGCGGCAATCGCGATCCCTCTCTGGTGGTACTGACTATCCATCATTGTAAATCGGGTACAGACTTGTTACAGAGAGTGGAGAGTTTGAGAAGAGATTTGAACCCCCCCAAAACACACTTCTGCTGAAGTTTCACGGGCTTCCGCAATCGACCCACTCAACGAATTACGGACGATATGCTAGAACTCCACTCTCTTTTGCTCCTGTCTTTGGAGAAAATCTTCTCAATTTCCCTCCACTATCCAATTTAGGAGGTTTTGATTTTATAGAGCAGATTAGAAATCTCACTTGGCAACAAAACGAAGCCGAGAGTGCTGTAGTGATAACATGGCAGTCTGAGCACTGGTCTTCCTTTGGTGCTGGGGTTCCTTACCGGTCTATCGACGAAGGGGCGAAGCCGGTTGCTCAAGCACTCCTCGGTGTGCTTTCGAAAGTGCCAGACAGCGAAAGTGGAGTCATGTTTGGCCGCCAGAAGTTCCAGGTATGTAAACCACCTAATCCTCCGCCTCAAATTTGTATCGTGGATAATATACTTACTGCCTGATAGGTGAATTTAATATGCAACCCACCTCTGGAGACAAAGTTCCGTTATTTCCGGAGTACGCCTACTGATATCCATGCCTATTGGAGGCACTGCACCACCACCCAGACTCTACTGGCGACTGTGCCTTTGAACCTATGCCTCAGCGGTAAGAGAGGTGGGCGTTACTCTGTACACACCTGAGTTATAAAAATATTATCCTAAAGACCTCACACAACTAAATCAATTATACAAATAGTTTAGAACAATTGTTACTTTTCAATGTTTATTATGCCAGGTGAAATAGGACAATTAAGTTACTTGTGCCAGATTTTTGACATAATAACTTTTGATAGCATGTACAGAGCAATGCCCGCCTCTCTTAAATTAATAGGGTTTGACTCTCGTGAACTTCAGGAACTAGAGGCGTTGCGAAAGAATAAATAGGCGAGATAGCCAGTGCCGGCACCACCTCAGCACGGTTTAGGCGACCGCAGAGTTAAGTTTTCTACGTCATACGCCAAAAAACAGTTACGATTCTACTCTCGAAGTAGAATTTTTTATTAAAGGCGTTAAGTTATACGAGGAAGCGGCCAAGCCAGAGATAAAATCTCGTACTTGTAATAGAAATTGGGACTACGACGTTCGCAACGTGAGCAAAGAGATATCTGGAGTTTCTGATAGAACTTGGGTGTTCCTTCTCAAGTCCCTTCTCAAGATTGAGGTAGCTGATTCTGAAGAAGTCGAAGGGGAGGTCTTCTTTCCAGAAGAAAACGACTCTGCTACTATACTTTTCACACGGCCCGGGGGAGAAGTAGTCTAGACACTTGAGGGTAGAGTCTTGATAGACCATAGTGTGTTTTCCGATGAGTAAGAGACGTGGTCGTTACTCTGTATACACCTCTCTTAGAATAAAATTGTTCTAAAAGCATCGTATAACTAAAATAGTTCTAGAATCCGTTTAGAACGATTGTTGCAGCTTACTTTTAATAGGCCTCGGTATAATAATTCGATTATTTTAATTGTACTAGAAGTTAAGATAATAACTTCTTATACAGTGTGTACACATTAATGACCAGGTATCTTACAATGTTGCGATCTTAGTTGAAGTTGAGGAAGGCGATTTCGATCCTGCTACAATACAACAAGATGTTAACGTCGTTGCCCACTTCAAATTCGACGAATTCTCCAGCTATGATTGTTCCAGCCTCAAGACCAAGTTTCGATTTATGAATCGCTTACTTTTCGGAAACATTGATATGTATATACCGGTAGACAACTGGGTACGACATATTCTCATGGCGAGAAACAACTTTCCAACCCAGTGGTGCGTCCCCATGGAACGAACTCTGGAGATTGCAGCAAAGTCATGTGTGGGCATGAATAAAGAACAGCGTATAGCGTTCTTCACAGCTATTGATAACGTATTTAGTCAAATCATCGGGCCACCTGGAACTGGAAAAAGCTGGGTTGTTGGCAAACTCATCGAATATTGCATTCACATGGCCCATAGGACAATGGTATGTGCACAAAGCAATGCGGCCATTCGAGAGGTCTTAGATAAGACCGTCACAACTTTTGAGACTTCTGGGGCCCCGGAAGAAGTCCTGGACAGTGTTATTTGGAATAACGCCTCGTCTAGCAATAACTGTGCTTTGGTACCTTCAAGCAACGGGTGGAATCCGTGAATTTGAGCCACGCGAACCTCTCTGCTTGTGATTGTAACTCTGCCATTATTTTTCTTTTCAACATATGTTGAGGAAAGAAGTCAGAATCAGACCATCCATCCGCAGCTTTCAATTCCTCGTGCTTTGGGTCCGGAGTATGTTTCAAGTCAATAAATCGGAGAAGGTCAATAAGTATTTGAAGCTTCATCAAAGTGTTTCCGCAACCGTATAGACATTTCCAAGGATGGTCGTCTGATTCTCCGGCCGTTGCAACATCGTATTCCATTCTACACTTCCACTCCCCAAACTTGGTGTGGTCAACTCCAGCGCGGTGAATTCTCAGGCTTTCTGCCCTATCGAAGGTCAGGGTTTTCTGTTTCTATGTCCTAAAAGGACTTTTGGCACACAAATCACATGTGCGTTCCTGTGGCTGGTTGGAATAGGAATAGAGAAGCTGCATAAACGCCTTGTAGGTGTCGATATTAGTTGTAGAAGAAGGTAGCATCTTTCCCTCAAACGGTTTCGAAATATCAACTCTAATGTTTTCGTGTGTTTATTGCTTAGCAGCCTCAGTGGAGGCGTGCTGCTGATGCTGGTAGTCGCAACGTAAGCGACGAGATCTTGGAAGTCCTCTTCTCCCTGGACTTTGGGGGTCTGGTCATCTTTTGCTAACTTCGAAGCCTATTCTCGAACCAATTGTGCAAATATTCCTGGTTTGTTAAGTTCTTCAATTCGTTTCTTGAATACATGAACTCCTCCAGTCTCGTTTTGAAGACTTTGCTCTATAGCTAACGCTACACGTAGAGCAACTTTTCTTACGCGTCTCTGAGCACATACAAGCTGGTGGTAGTCTCCGGTTGCTTGGGCAGAAAGAACATCTTCGTCACGATTGACAAAATCTTCGATTAGGGCATTCCGCTCTCGGCATAAGCATTGATGTTCGCTACGTTGAATACTAGGGGACGTCTGGTTTTCGGATATAGCCTTAACAGGGGCAACACCGTCAATGAGGGTAGCGGCTGTGTTCACAGCATACTGTCCTTGGAGGTAGTACCTCTCAAGCGTACTTGTGTCGGGCGAATGGCCCATTGCTTGTCGGGCCGTATCTCTGCCGTACACTTGTTCAACATTCGTACCAAACTTGGCTCTCCATGAATAAAACACAGTATTAGACGGGTATCCGAGCTATTGAACACGAATCTTTAAGTAGTTGTTAAAGGTACGTGATGTTGCTACATCTTTGTTTAAACCAAGGCCTCTAGCTCGTCCAGCTAGGAAGACTGGCAGGCTGTGCAAAATTCTAAGGGTAGCACACTTAGGGAGAGAACTTGAATCTAGGGCTACGGACCTCTTAACCTCCGGCTTCATTGTAATATTCTTCTCCCGCCCTGACATCAAATATTCGATAGAGTCGCGGAACTTGAGTAGTTTTCGGCGTATTAGTATAACTAGAAGCCTACGCGGGATTGACAGTTCAGGTTTAGTAGTCGGGCAACCAATCGTGACCTCCAAGGATGGTTGAAAGTCGTTTTTGCCTGTGTCTTCTATGCTATTTGTTAATTGCATTTGTACGATATACTGAATATGCCGTTACGCCTAAGGTACCTGTAGAATCTTTGATATTTCGAAAGATAACTACCAATGTAAACTTTCCCTGCCACACGCCAATCGTATCAAGTTCACGACTAAAGGTCAGGTCTTGCCCAAGTAGATTTTCTTGCTTCACTAAAGGATAGGTCTAAATCAGTATCGCACGTAGAAAGAAACATGTATCCAGGAAACACCTACTTTTATTTCCCACGAGTGCACCAGGGCGAGAGCCAGCCTGAAACCCAAACAACCACGCGAGGTGGTGTTGCTCAGCTAGTTCAATACTCGGGGTTTGCAACAACTAAGGAAGTGTTAGGAATGCATTTCAGGTCAGGGGCGTGCGAGTACATACATCGAATTCGACCAATTGAATCAACTCGGACAGGCCCAAGTAAACCTTTTTCTTGGTCACCAACTCAAATGCATTCGCTTCTTTCAAGCCCCGTATTGTCTCCAATGTGCGTCTCCAGGACAGCGTCTTCTCTGGGGTAGGTAGCAGCAGAGGCGATTTGGTCAGCCAGTACCAGAGATGATCTCTTAGTTTAAATGCTGAACTTATTCTAGGTTTCTCTTCATCGCCTTTGATATTCCTCGCCATGAGAATGATGAAGCTATAAGCGTCAGGCAGAGTCGGCAGAGTTGAAAATTAATCAAAAACTTACGTGCAGACATTTTCTACTAGCTGTGTAAGATCTACTGGAAAGATCAGAGCATCGTTGACGTCCGAAGCAGCACCAGGCTGAATAATGATGCCGGCCAATTCCTAAGCATGAAAAAATACAGCCATTGCCTTGCGATAATCCCTTAAACATCTGTCCTGATTAGTCTGGTATGACTTGCTGTGCCATCTAAAGTTGGCCGTCTTCTTGAGAAGCTCAACAGCTTTGACGAATCACAGGATGGTAAACTCATTGTCCTTGCCTAGCTCCCAATCTTCGATTTTCTGCTTGATTGTGCGCTTCTTTTTGGGGGCCTTCAGCGTATCCAACGCGGCAGCAACTGCGGCGGACATTGTTACGGACGAGCGGCGTCAAAGTGTACGGTTTGGTGGAAGTTCTGTGGCAAGAGAAGACTTGCAGGCAGTCCTACAAGGACCCAAATCCTCTAGAGTCACTTCATTACCTAGTTCGGATTCATCGTCTGAGAGATTAACGATAAGGGATTTTGATATGATTGAAACAGCCCAAGTGGAGGCGTATCTGTTATTAAAGAGTATCTTTAGTGTTCTACGTTCGGTTAATAAACAGTTAAAGTACTTTAGGACAGCGGCTTCTTATTATCCTTCGTTAACTAGTTAGGCTTCCGGCCCTAAGCTGTCTCTTAATAACGTGGGACAAAGTATACGGGTAGTATTCCGGTCCTAAAGCTAAGTTATTCAAAGTATTCTCAAGCTAATCTTACTATAGAGTTTACGAGAAGTGCTCTCTCCTCCTTATTTAGAGTATCCGCTAAATCCTATAACTCCTCTAAGTCGCCTATACGGCTAGCGTTATTCTAAATAATACTATCTAATACTTCTTCGAATACCCTAGAAGTCTCTAGGCTTATCCCCTCAACGATATATATATACAGCCAGCTTTTTAGGTTTGCGGTTTCCTATTTGAGCGGTCGGAGCGATCGGAATAATACCTAGACGCGCTACGGGGCTTGGCCCGACTTGCTCCGTACTAACCAAGTACTACTATCGTTAAGGGCCAAGACTAAAAGTGGATATCGCAAACCTGAAAAGCTAGCTACACATATATATCGTTAAGGGGATAATAATCTTATCTAGTACCTCTCGAATAGCCATATTACCTTTTACGGAAGCTGTAGTATTTTCCCTATATAGATATATAGAATATCTAATTAATCTACTAACGAGCTACCTATTTCTAGTCCCTAATATACTAACTATTTAAATTAATACATTCTTAATAGCTATATAGAAAGCTATCCCCTTTACACTATTAGTTTCTAATAGGACAATTTACCTTTTAAAAAGCTATAAATATAAAGAATCACTAAAAAAACGCCTATCAACGCCTAAGCAAGGGCAAAAAAGATAATATTCGACCAGAACAAGATTCGAACTTGCGCCTCCGAAGAGAACAGCTTTCTAGGCTGTCGCGTTAACCACTCCGCCATCTGGCCTGTCATACTTTTGGATAATATCAGGGTACTTATTTAAACATAGAAAGCCTCAGGTGTTTTGTGCGGCGGGGCAGACGCAGCTCTGGCTTGGCAGGCTTGGCATTCTGTAGATTTGAAATAAGTTACGGCTAGATTTATAGCCCAAGATAGTAAAAGAAAAGAAGAAGAAAAATATTAGTATTCGTAAAATTCGGAAAGCATAATTTATCTTTATCTTGTTAATTACTAATCTAAAATAAACGATATAAGTATAAGATGACCATTTAAGATCATTTTTCAGAAGCGAGAGTCGGCATATGAGACCGTAGATTAGAACGAGTTAATAAGGTTTAATTATATATAAAATCCCTAAATAAATAAAAGGAGAAGGCGCGAAAGCTTAAGAAGAGCAAGAAGAAGAAGAGTGTCTTCCATCCTTATCTTCTAAATCATGTTCTCACCGCTCGTCAGGTTCCTCAACTTTCTCCAACTGAGACTCTTCTTACATCCCTAGTAATGCACTTTCCGGTTGATTCTAACCTAGCCTGCGCAGAAATAGATCCTCAAGGTAGGAGGCCGATATTGGCGCTAGATCACTATTTAGGACAGGCATTACAAGCGGGTCTGTGTGAAACACAGGCTTATAGTTAACACGTTCAAAGACCATTTAATTACGGGTATGGATATTAAAGGTAAATTTGATTATGTAAGAGACATGGTCGTTACTCTGTACACACTATATAAACTCCATTATACTAAACTTATAGTAAAAGCAAAATAGTTGTCTTAGGATACCTAGGTTAGTAAAAAATAAGAGTTAACAATTATTCAAGCTCTTTATATAACTATTTCAGTTATACAACGCTTTTAGAATAATTTTACTCTAAGAGAGGTGTGTACAGAGTAACGACCAGGTATCTTATTTTTATTGTTTGTTTATTGTCATTTCTTTCCTTGCTGTGAAGATGATGTTTACTCTGCTGTTATGTTAAAGCAGTTAAGTCGAGACCTGAGTTGACCTGAAATACATTGCTCTATCGTTAGTTTGTAAGAATACACCGGTAGGAGAGTTTCAAAAGTGAATATTTCTGGCTGATTTGGCAATTGCGGTGCTTGAATCGAAATCTGCACTTGGGATAGTACAGTCCGTCTCAATTCCATAACACAAATTCGGGCGTAGGAAGGAATCGTGGTTCTTTCGAGGTCAAGAGATAGTGAGCGGTATGAGCATCAGGCTTTCAATTCACTATACTATGAAAAACCACCTGGGCATCAAACCAATCTGTCAACATCAAAGTACGTATACGTACCTCAAGCCCCCAACTTTTCATTCAAACCTCCCAATTCATTCACAAAAACTCCCCAACATCAACCCACCAATCCTCAACCCAAAATCAAACCACAGCCACCTTACATCTTCTCCCTTCTCTCCACCTCCCTGACCTCACCCTTCTCCTGTATCTCCAAAGCCCTTCGCTCCAACTCCTCCGCATACCCAGCCTGGTACGCGGATTTATCCGTGAACGCAACGAGGTACGGCGCGTTGGTGAATAGATAATTCATTTCTTCGAGTGGGAGACCCTTGGTTTCGGGGAGGAAGAGGTAGAAGAAGAGGGCGTTGGTGAAGTTGCAGATGATGAAGACGAAGTAGTATAGGTATTTGATGTTGGTCATTGCTATGGGGGTTACTTGTCCGATCTGTGGGTGGGTGTTAGGTTTGTGATTTTTTGATTGTAAGAGGTGGATGAGAGGAGGGGGATCAGGAGTGTTTTACCATTGTGTTGAATGCAAAGGATACCATGACGTTGATGGATACACCTTTTGAACGTGTTTTCGTGTCAAAGATTTCAGCGGGGATAACCCATGACAAGGGACCGCAAGTAGCTGAGAATGAGAAGTTGTAAAGCCATGTACAGGCAATGAATCCCCAGGATGCAGCTCTACTATCAGTTGATCCTGGTGGAAACTTGGCAACCAAAACACAAGCGATCAAGAAAGTCAACTACGACATGAGTCAGCAAGTCTTCAATGAATAGAGTGGAATAAACATACCATGTTGAATAGATTCCCCGCAATCAAAGGTCGCCTTCTTCCAAGTTTATCCACAAACAGAACACAGCATGCCTCCCCAACCAAGGCAATGATATTATTGATAGCCTGGTACTTGAGAGCATCCGATCCAAGAATACCGATTTGACCATAGATGTCAACACTATAGTACTGAATCGCCGACACACCCGTCATTTGAACCGATGCAGCCAGAGCACAGGAGAGAAACAGACGTCTGAAAGAAGACATATCGGTGAACAATTCCGTATAAGACTTTGCCTCGTTTTGGTGCTCGTGAATGATGCTCTCTTGAATCTGATCAAATTCCGCACGGACCCAAGGATCGTGCTCGTTGCCATTGGAATGAAGTCTAGCGAGGGTTTTCAAGCCTTCTTCTGAGCGGCCATTGTCGATGAGCCACTATCTTTTGATTAGCACTAATACTTGTTTCTGAAAATATCACGACTTACTCGAGGACTTTCTGGGAATATGAAAATCAATGCGCCTAGGATGACCGCTGGTATGATTTGAAGTCCAAGTGGGATACGCCATTGTGCAGTATTGGTTTTGATGGAGATGTATGTGCCATAAGAGATCCAGCCAGCCAGAAAGGCACCGATTCCCAGCATGAATTGTTGAAGGGATGTGATTGTGCCTCGAATGGAGGGGTGTGCGATTTCGGCTTGGTATAATGGGATGATCATGACGAGGAATCCGACACCTACACCTGCTAGCCAACGACCAGCGTAGAGGTAGTTGATATTTTGAGCACCGGTTTCTAAATAAGTTATGTCAGTCTATGATACAGAACCACAAATACAAGTATACGCTGGATGTATTGAATTTGGTATAGTAGGGAGATTGGCCAAGTGTATACTGAAAGCTCGGGGGAATCTTTCTGACTTACGAAGCGCTCCACCGATCAAGAAGAAAATACATCCTATCAAGATAGTCCATCTACGACCCCATCGATCACCACTCTATTTGCATTAGAAATATAGACAAACTCCGAATATACACTTTCACTCACTGAACCTGCCAAGGCAGCACCACAAAAAGCTCCGCCAGTGAAGAACGATACTACCATACCACTTGAATTGTCAGCACCAGAAGCGCGCCCAGAAGTTTAGGTGGCTTACGTTTGTACCGACGAAGGTTCGTTGAAAAAGCTTACGAAAGTTTCGGATGCAATACTGGAAAAAGCTTCAGTCTTATCTCTAGAAGAAATCGATTGTTGAGACTCACACTTCAGCGATAACTCCCAGATCATATCCATAAAGAATAGATCCCATAGAAGCAAACACGCCCACCAGGAACTGCAAAAACATGAGCAAGCGAACCAACACCAATCTCGAAATCCCCAATACGGACCTGATAAATCTTAGGAGGGATTGCCATCTTGTCTGTGGATGGAGTAGAAACCCAGAGGAACTTCCAAAGATCAGACACAGAAGAATAAAACAAATTCTTGCTCGGACGACATACCAAAGCTGGAGATGATGGGATCCTTATAACAAGGTAGCACGGGAGCAGTACATGCGGGGAACTGGGGTAGCTTAATGCTTGTACTTGCAGATGGTGAACTGAAAACGTGAGGAAAGGCTACCCGACTGTTTTGTGGCGGTTTTTGTATCTCACGATATGTCGGTAGAACTCTTGACACTTCTTCAAGATGCATGCATTATTGATATGATAGAGATAGAAAAATATAGTTGATGGTTACAAACTCATTCTAAATCATCACCTAGAATATGCACTTCTCATCCTCCTGGAAAGATGGTACCAAACGTCTTTATTTACCACTAATACCTTAACAACTCCACACCCAAGACCCCATAAACCATCCGTATAACTCAAAAATCATACCCTTACACACCCACAGGAACCATAGCGATTGGCGCAAAATTTCTAAAAGATCCCCTGTATACAAGCCACCAACGCAAGCCAACCTCGTACCATCTCACAACCTGTCACGTACCGTGACCACGGCGCCGTTCTTGCTGGAACCAATATGAGGGGACGAGGCTTCAAGAAGATGTGGGGAAGGCACGGGAGGAATCCACTTAATATGCATTTGGAATCTGGAGGCGGGGAAGGAGGTCTGTCGAAACAGGGGTTGTTCCTTGCACAGGGCGAGGTAGAGATCATCCGCCACTCACAGGTCGTAGCTGCAAAGCTATCGCATTTATGCGCGCCAATCAGAGAGTAGGACTTGAGTGAGCTAAAGGTAATTAATTGACGACGTGATGAACGTCGGGACTCGGGGGGTTGTTGTTCCTTCTGCTATTTGGATGACTTGTGGAAATGAGATCGTTGAGTTCAATGGATTGTTTTGATTCCTTTTTACATAAAATTTCCTTCTTCACGAGATCAATAATCTATTTCTCACAAGCGCTTCCTGAGCAGTGAATCTGGTGCTGATTTTGTAAGCGTCTACAAGTATTGGAACTCAGTGAAGCTGCATGTGAGAGTGGGATATCTACAAAAGAACGTCCACGTCTAAATCGTATGATCCACTTGAAATAACACATAACTTTCCTTTGCCGCACCCAAATTGATTGCGCGATTTCTCTCATTCCTTACTTGTTTAATTGCCGATTTACTTTACTTCTCTCACGATGTCAACTTTCACGAGAATCGCAGAGGGGTCGACCCCTTCGATTGATGTCGATGTTTCGAGGAGACTATCAAAAATTGGTAAATATATGCATGGAGTGCAGTAGATGAGAGTCTATCACTAACATCGGAATCAGATGACAATATTTATGGGGGTTTCATGGAGTAAGTCGAGGCATTGAGACTGAAGTGTTGTAAGCATACAAGGAAAGATCCGAGTGGTTCTTGACTTCTCTGCTTCTAAAGGTTTCCATCTAAGACATGTGTTTATCTTTTCGTTGGAGGCCTACTATAAGGTGTTTGAACATGTTTAATCTCAAGAAAAATAGTTATGGTCTTTCTTTTTTTCCGTTGAATACCTCTGTTCGCACTTGTGGATTGGAAATAGCTCTTCTACTAGTCATTCTTTCTGTCCGAATATCCCACCAAAGATTCAGATCTGATCGCAAATCTATTCTCCAACGACCGAGTAGATTGCTTGCAAACAGATTAGATCAATAATCCCAAAGTTCCCAACTCTACACACCCAATCCCCTCATCCAAAACATCATACTCATTCCTCACACACTCGATTGCTTCCACCCCCCTTAACCCCACCAACCCACAAACTAACAAAAACCAGACACATGGGCCGCTGCATCTACGGCGGAATCTACTCCCCAGGCAGTCCCCTCTCCGACCCCCACGGCTACCGCACCGATGTCCTCGCCGCCCTCCGCGAACTCGACATCCCCGTCATCCGATACCCAGGAGGCAACTTCGTCGCAACATACCACTGGCAAGACGGGGTGGGACCGCGGGAGAAACGTCCTGCGAGGCCGGAACTCGCGTGGTTGGGGACGGAGACGAATGAGTTTGGTGAGTGAGTTTTCTGTTAAAGAAAGAAGAAGAAGAAAAAGAAGAAAAGAAGTGAAGGAGGAGGGGAAAAGGGGACTGAGGAGGAGTGAAGGAGGAGGGGGAAAGGGGACTGAGGAGGAGTGAAGGAGGAGGGGGAAAGGGGACTGAGGAGGAGTGAAGGAAGAGGGCTAACAAGATATCAGGAACGGATGAATTCATGCACTTCCTCAGCGTGCTAAGCGAGGGGAAGGAGAAGCGAGTTGAACCCTATTTCGCGCTGAACTTTGGGACGGGCACGCTTGATGAGGCGCTCGCGTGGGTGGAATACTGTAATGGGACGAGGAATACGTATTATGCCAATATGCGACGAGCAAATGGACATCCAGAGCCGTATAATATTAAGTATTGGGCGCTTGGTAATGAGGTATTTCCATTTCCTCGTCATTTATCTCAGTGTTTAGACTTCGAACTTCACACTGTCACTTTCACATATTCCAATTTTGAGACTGGAGAATCAAGATGCGATATACAGACTGACAATGATATCTCACAGATGTGGGGACCCTGGCAAGTCGGCCAAATGACAGTAACAGACTACTCCAAGACTGCCCTCCAATGGGCCAAAGCCCTCAAACTCCTCGATCCCACCCTCTGCCTAATCCTCTGCGGCGAAGACGGCGTCTCAACCTGGGACCACACCGTCCTGCAAGAATGCATAAAATACATCGACATGCACTCCATCCACATGTACACCTGCTCGCCCACCCACCTCCCCAACGTCGTCGCTCCCTTGGCCGCCGAACGCGCCATCGAGACCACAGCCGCTATGATCGACCTCGCGCGCATCAGGAACAAAATCCCGTCGTCGACGCCGAAAACGACGATCTGCTTCGATGAGTGGAATGTCTGGGATCCCGTACGGAGTCCGGGGGAGGAGGGAGGCGAGGAGGCGTACACGTTAAGTGATGCGCTTGCGGTAGGGGTGTGGTTGAATGTATTTGTGCGGCAGAGTCGGTGGGTGGGGATGGCGAATATTGCGCAGAGTGTGAATGTTATCTCGCCCTTGATGACGACCGAGGAGGGGATTGTGAAGCAGACTACTTGGTGGCCGCTTTTGTTGTATAGTAAGTATATGAGGGGATGGACGATCGGGACGCATGTCAGAGCTGGTGCGTATGAGGGAGTTACGCAGCCGGAGTGGTTGCATGGTGTCTTGGAGGTGGGAGCGAGTTGGTTGGATGTTAGTGCTTGTGTTGGTGAGGAGGGGACGGTGACGCTTGCGGTGGTTAATATTAGTGAGACTCAGGAGTTTGGAACGGAGGTGAAAGGTGTTGAGGGTGAGGTTAAGGTGTTTACTGTTACGGGACGGGATATTACGGTTTCGAATATGAAGGGGAAGGAGGAAGTTGGTGTTGTAGAGAGTACTTGGGATGGGAAGGGGAAGTTTACTTTTGGGAAACATTCTATTACCCTTCTGACATGGGAGAGTGGAGTTAAGGTTGAGGTTGTGGAGAAGGGGAAGGGGGTGAGAAGTGATGCCAGGACGTTGACTGGAAGTGGTGCAAAGTAGATGTCTTGGATAAATGAAAATTGGATCTCTAAGACTTCTAGAATTATGAGATGTATATATCGTCCAAGAGCCACCAGGAATAGAAGCATTCGTAACCAAACAACAGACAGAACCGTAAAGGTACCAAGAAGTAAGTGGCAAGCAAGGATATATCAGAGGTAACAAATCCACAACCCCATTCTCTTCTCCCCAATCATCTCTAAATCCCAAAGGTCTCGCCAAAAGAAGAGAAATACACCCGGCATAAAAACGTTTCCATAGCCCAAAAACACCTAACAAATAGATATGTCGCTAATAAATACCTCACCTAAACTCCCAAACTCTTATAAAAGTAAGCAACAAGCATAGACATATCAGATATAACAAAAATTCAAAACCCACAATCCCATTCTCTTCTCCCCACTCATTTCAAATTCCAAAGATCACACCAAAATGAAAGAAATACACCCATAAAAAACATCACCATATCCCAAAAACACCAGCAAATTCCTCAAAGAACACATCACGTGAACTCCTAACCTCACATAAACTCCAATCCCCGCCACAACCAAGCATAGCAAGCTAAAAGCACTACCATCAAGTACGGAAACATGGTATCATATTCTCATCCTATCCCCAGCCACCAACAGCCCCGTTGGAAAAACAAAGCAGAAAGTAAAAAAACCCGCTCCAAACGCCCATCCGTGCAACCCCCCCAAGGGACAAATAAACCCCAAAAGAAACCCCCCTCAAGACTCTACAACACAAAGCCCCCAAACACCCACCTCCCCTACCAGCAGATCATCTACCCAACAACGCCCCCACCACCCCCACCTCTAGGTCTAGGCATCTTCTCATACGCATTGGGACTCCTCTTCCTCTCCTTCCCTTTCCCCTTCCCCTTCCCATGATCATAACCATGCCCACAATCCCTCCCCTTCCCCTTGGGTGCCTCCCGACGAGAAGGTCTAGCCGAGCCATCGTCGTTGTCACTTTCATCGCTGCTAGTCCCGCTCGAACTCTCGTCGCTGGATTCGTCGATGCCGCGGGGGGCGTGGTATATACAGCATACTAGGAGTCTACATTAGCTCTATCCATCCCATATATCTTGCAAACCACTTTTCCCCCCTTCCCATGATCAGAAACAACCCACAACCCCGAAACCAGCCAAAAAAAGAACATGAAAGAGGGGAAGGATGGAAAATACCTTTACTCTTCTTCTTCCCCAGCCCTTCATTATCAACCACATCCTCCGCCCACGAAATTCTCGGTCCCTGTCTCCGCTGCTCCAACTGCACCGCCTCCGAGCCCCTCAAATGCAGCACCGGCGCGCGACTACTGCCCGGTGTGATAGTCTGTGTCTGCGTGGCGCTTGTTTGGGCGGCGGAAGTGGAAGGGGATGGTTGCATTCGTGTTTGTGTTTGTGTGTGGGCGGTGGAGGTGAGGGGGGTTGTGTTGAAGTGACGGCGGGGTGGTGACATGGTGGTGTATTGTTTGAGGAGGTTTTGGGGAAGTGGTGGGAGTCCGGTGGCGTTGAGGTTGTGGATGTGGATGTGGTGAAGGGTTGTAAAGGAAGAGATGGAGGGGTCTTGCGTTGCGATGAGGATTTGGGGATGAGGGGCAATGGATGGTACTTGTATGCCGAGCTTTGTATAGTAAGATGGTCCCGACACTCGATGTCGATATTTTCCTCCAGGGTATGGTATTTTCGTTATTTTTCTTCGTGTCTTCTTAAGAGCCGTTGGTATGCGTAATATCGAGAAAGTGATGATATTTCCTTCCTCAGAGTTCTCTACCGTACGAGTAGTGGGAGTCGAACATTTTATAAACATATCGTCCGCCTAACCTGAAGTTCCTTGTTCCGAAGTTCCAGCGAGTATGTCCACCCACCAAGCCACCTCGATCATCATACTCGTATCTATTTCCAGAATTAAAAATAAACAAAAATGTTTCTTCAACATCGCAGATCGTGGAAACAAGTTTCATCAAAAAATAGTACCCTCAATTCATGCATGAGAAACAAAAAATAATCTTATCGTATCTACCAAGGTATCTACACGCTACACTACAAACAAGAATACCGGTAAAAGCGCAGCCGTTGCGAAAATCCAAGCGACTCCCCTATCGATCCGCGTCCCAGAATTCGGAGTTCCCTTCCCAACGATAGCAGTAGCACTAGCAGAAAGACTCGTACAGCTCGCCGTCCCGCATTGGAACCCAGTCGGACAGCAATTCCCTCCATCGGTTTGAGCGCAGCTTGTCCATCCCGTTGCGCAAGCTCCAGTTGGATGCGCTGATGTAGCTGCTGGTCCGATGGGGACGGCTATTGTAAGGCCGTTGCTGATGATGGTTGTTGAGCTTGTGGTCGGGCACGAGGTTTTCTCGCAGTTTCGTCCTACGCGACAACATCCTCCATCGTAGTGTGCTGAGCAGGCGTAAAATCCTGTTGGGCACAGGGTTTCGATGCCTGAAGTGGGTGTAGATATGGACTCGCTCGTAGGCCGGACTGGGGGAACACCCGTGGCTGTTGTTGTTAGTGTTTGGCTTGTGGAGATGGGTGTAGTTGAGGGCGAGGCAATTGAGGTTGTTAATGGTCTAGTGGAGCTCGTCGTAGGTGGTGATACAATTACGATTGAAGACGTAGAAGCAGCCGGTGGAGTTGCAGTAACAATAACCGTGGAAATTTGAACACCTGAAAGTTATCAGTTTTTGAATGTCAGTATATCCCCGCCAATACTTACATCCAACGCCCTCGCAGGTATAATTCGGAATACAACAGCCCCCACCAAGATTCGCAGCACACGGTGTATTCGGCGCATCACAACTCGATATCGTTCCACCACAAGTACTTCCCTTGGGACAACACCCAACAGGTCCCAATCCCGTATCCTCAATCTTGAAACAACTTTCACTCGTCGAACAACAACTGTTTGGATATCCAATGCTCGAACAATCCAATGTTCCAACCGGACATATAAAAGCTCTCTTCTCAAGCAATGCCAAAACCGCCGCCCCCCTAGCTCGAAGATCCATACGGTTCACCTCATCTGGAGTATGTAGAGCAAATGGCGATCTAAAAGACATGACCATAGTCCCATTCGATAACAGAATAGTTTCCTCGTCATCGCGGGGTCGTAATGGGGAGGAAGCCTGTAGAAGTGATGGTGTCGAATCTCCGTCAAATTGCCAGTATTCCATGTAGAACTTCTCTCCTTCGTCCTCACTCATTTTCATGACTCCAACCGGACGCCTTCCCATCCGTAAATGCTCCTCGACCGCCCGTCGTCGCAGAAATCCGTCTTGCGCACGGTTCCTAGCGTCGAGGTTTGCTTGCCATGGCGCGGGATTTTCATTCTCGTCGCTAGATTCTGCGGATATGGTGTGTGAAGCTGTCAGGAGTAGTATTGAAGCCGGAAGCCGGAGGATAGAATCAAGGCGCATTGCGGGATTCTTGGGCGGGGTCGGAATGAGCAGTGCGCCACTTGTAGTGTGTAAAAATCAGGAGTACGCGTGGAATTGGAATTGAAAATGGAAAATATGCACCTACATGTACGAGCAAAGTGAAGAGAAAAGGGAAGTCCAAACCATGAAGCTGAGAGAGATCGAGGAAATGTCAGTGGCTGGGATAGGATTCGTTGGTAAGTAACCCACTCTCACACCGACTTGGAAGGTTCGGCGCCGCACCAGCTGTTTACCTCCCAGTGGCTGGTACCTGGCTGGGCAACGTCGAGCTTGCCCTGAGTACCGAAGCGGTGTCTCATGATATTTTGTGTTCATATTTTTTGATGAACGTAGCTAGCAAAGTTGCTGCCTGGTACAAAAGATTTTGGGTTTGGAAACACCAGATGAACATATGGATCTCAAACCTGGAAGGGTCCACTCCGACCGTGGATCGGCTCCATGTGACTTCGCGACTTCCCCACCTTTCCAAACACGCGCCAAAGTCAATCCACTGTCAACCCACCCCAGCCCTCATTCAACGCTATGAAAATGCCACGAACGGAAGAAGCAGAAGCCTTCTACCACGCAGTATACAGTGCGATTCAAGAGATCCCATATGGAAAAGTAACTACTTATGGCCATATTGGGCGATTGATAGGGACTCGTAAGTCAACCACCAACCTTTAGAAACAAACATGCATAAGTCATATTTGGATCAATTTTCAAATCCCCTTAAGACTACTATTATGAAAAGAAAGACAATGAATCCCCAAGCAGCTCAAAGACCCCGTCAAGTAGGCGTCTGCCTTAAACACCTCCCCTCCGACCCGACTTTGCCACATCACAACAACAATGTCCCCTGGCAACGAGTCATAAACTCCAAAGGCACAATTTCACCACGGTATTTTCATTCTCCTTCCCCTTCCCCCTCTTTCCCACCAATAAAAGAATTCACAAAAAACAAAACTAATAAGACCTCAGCAACCCAAACGGCGCAGCAAACCAAGCACAAGCCTTGGGAACAGAAGGCGTGACGGTTACCACCAATGCCATAGGAGAGTTCAGTATCAATCTTGCAGAATACGGATGGTTTCCTAGACAATTGCCTAGTGAAGAGGCAGCTGGGTTGGAACCTTATGCTTTTAGCGATGATGAGGATGAAGAATAATACCGTATTTTGCTCGTAAAGATGTTTTACTTATTCGAGATTCTACGGAGTGGTAAAGACGTAAATGGGTTTTCGCTCTTGGCGATCGATTGTGAAGGAGTGTGTACTGTACCCACTATCTCCACCTATCTTTCATCGGCTAGAGCTTAGCTTGGGAGCTTGGCGTAGAGTCTGAGAATCAGCGATCAGCTAGCTGTTCTTCTTGTTCTAAACGGGATTTTTTTGTTGGTCGTGAGATTTAGATTTTATCAATCACTGATCGCAGCTCCCTACCTATAAAAGTAAATTCAATGAATAGTTTTATACTAGGGTAAGAAATAACGAAAACTCTCTCGCTTATATCTATTACGTTTAGAAAGCTGAAAAAATCCCCCTCCACTTAAGGGCGAGTTCTAGGTTGTAAATTACAACTAGGTAGTTTATAATATTTCTACCTCTTTAGTAACCGTAGGGCTATAAGTTAGCTCGAAAGTGCTAGTATTACTTTACTAACTAGAACCTTAAGTAGCTCGGTATTTCTTAGAGTAACCTATTACTATAGAAACTTAGTAGTTTCTTATCTATTAATATTCTTTAGCTATTAAGTACCCGTTTGTATCTCTGTAATAAGGGAAAAGCCTACCTAGCTCTATACCTACCTAGTATCTGTAAGATCACGTGGCAGCCCTGGGCCCATAAAACTGCGTCCCACAGTTTGCCCTTTCCTACCTATCTCACCAGGCTTGGTAATCACGAATCTCCTACCAAAACATCCACACCAAACAAAGCTGAAATGAGTTCGCCGACACCTCATCTCAGAGAGCTTTGGCTAAAAGCTACCCAGACACCAGATCAAGTCACTGATGATGAACGGCGCACAATTCTCCGAATGGTTGACCGTGATACGCAGGTCGCCAACGCCCTTAAGATTAGCGGGCTGACTCCCGAAGAGCTCGAGAAGAAACTTCTCACCCAGCCAGAATCATTGACAGAGCAAGAATGCAATCTCATACAGAATGGTTACCATATCTGGACCGACCAAGAAAAGTCCGCACACAGTACTTTCCGTTGGCACATTGATGATCAAATGGCCTACATACCAGCTTTTGTTGCTGTACAAACTCCGCACATAGAGGTTGTCATAAGAGCAGTTTCTCGGTGGATGACTGCACTAGGGGATGAACGTCTCAAAATTACACAAATGAAAATGAAAGAAGATTTGGAGACGATGCATCAGCCTTGCAAATGGGTACAGAAACTCATCGACCACTCTGAGATATGGGGCTTTGTTATTCTCAGAGATAGAGCAACCCAGTATAGCGAGGAATTCTGGAAGATCTTTCTCGATAAACTGGAAACAGCTATCTGTTCGTCAATGAGAGGATTCATGACTGGACTGACCGGCTTTCAATAAATAGACACAACGAGACGATTCATTTGGAGAGAAGCCTTGGTAGATGCGAATGATACTGAGGAACTTTACAGGTAATGCATAACAGATATTCTGTTTCTACGTAACCTCCACTGACAAGAACCAGGGCTTTCCAAGAGACTCTTCAGTCAAATGCAAACACCAGTCCATATATTATATCCAACACCTTTCTTCTCGTCACGCCTGAAGTCATATCATCTTTCATGGATAACGACGCGACTCACACCTCACCTCCGTGGATCTGGGCATACGAAGCCAATGGTGCTCCTGTTCCTGCTCCTACAGAAGCAACATACGAAGAGAACAAATACGAAGGAAGGCTCAAAGTGACTGCTTCCACAATATTCACCTGGTTCTACGCCGTGCGAGCACAGAAAAAAGAGCTCTATAGCATGGAATTGTTCTGGAAGAAGGCTCAACAACAACCCGCCAAAGCCTGGCAAGTCTCAGCTATTAAGGGAAGGTACCACGACCCACTTGTTCTGCTCGCCTTGGGTACGCATTGGCCCTGGTGGACGTGTGAACTTGATAATGAATAATAAGCCTTGATAGCATGCAAAATAGCGACAACGCACTGGACACCAAGTCTCCGGTTCTTCTTGAAGTATATTTGCCGTTTCGTAAGTAAGTCTTCTAGGTAAAAGTAAGGAGTAGAAGAGGGTTATTTTCGCGAATAACATTAGTAAATATAACTTTGTTAAGTACGTGTAGGAGTAATAGATAGGAGTCGTATATTATACGTCTATTAAGTGATTATTAATCTCCTTAATAGAAGTGTATAGTATATTACTTATTAATTAAAATTATCGCCTTTGAATAATCGAATAATATAATACCTTTTCATATTTATAAAATATAGGCAGCGTTCGGCAGTTGGAATACGATTCCAAGGATTCCAAGATTCCATTCCAAGGTGGAATATTCCAAAGGCTCTGTAATTTGGAATGGAATATTCCAAAGGCTCTGTAATTTGGAATGGAATATTCCAAAGGATAAGGCCTTGGAATTTGGAATTCCAAAGGATATATATACATATCACTTTTTGCCAATAAGAGAGCTCTATTTGTAATAAAGTGAGGACTGAGATTTGTATTATTACCTACGCCTAATTAGTTATCGTCGTCTTCTATATATAACTCTAAAGCCTTAAATCTTTATATAATACCCTAACCGCGAAGACAATCAATCCAAGTAGTATTAGGGCTAAAACTAGGCTTCCTATTGGTCGCTCGGACCGGAACTACTATTTTACGGTCACGTGAGTTCCAATTGGAATTCCAAAAATTCCACCTTTTGGAATGGAATATTCCAATACTTATACTATTTGGAATGGAATATTCCATAGAAGGGTCTTGGAATGGAATGGAATTCCAGATGCCGGACGCTGAATATAGGGGTAGCATCTAAGAGATTCACGGGTGGCGAATCTGGTATATCCTTTGAGATATTACGGAGCGTTATTAGGAAAACCAAAACATGTAATACTAACTTAAGAGACGATATACCATGTAATCACTTCATGGGACAAAAGCAAGTTCGTGGTAGGCGAAACAGCGCGAGGTAACATGTGTCTTTATATAGTTATTCTAATATAAATATTTTTGGAATTCTAGGACGAATAAAGTGACTAGCAATAGAATCCGACCAAAAAGAATGAAAAATGCAACAATTTACCAAGGGTTTTATTCATTGGCTGGAAAGAGCCTGAAAATCATTTCTTAATCACTATACGAGAAAGCTTCCTAATCACTAGGACAATTTGTATTACAACGGTAATCATAATCATAATAACCTCTGCTTGAAACACATCCCACTTTTTCCAATCTCCCATATATCTAAACTTGTCAAATTGCCCAATCACAACCATCATTCTTAAAAAAAAAGAAGAAAAAAGAAAGAATTGTCGGTCTTCTGAGCTCTTGGGTACTCTGATGTAGCCCGAAGTTACCTAGGATCCTTCAACAAATGGTACATTCAAGTGCGCTGGAACTTTGATACGAGAAGCAATCGAAGTGATGCTGAGCTTGCGTGCATCGGACTTTACCGACTCTGCCATGTGTGGTGGCTCTTGAGAGTGCCCACTCTTGACATGCGTCAAGACATGTTCTTTGCCCAGGGCTGGTACATTCCGTCTAACCATCTGTTTTACTGACGTAAGGGTAGAGTCCAAGGCTCCAGCGATCTAAGTATGATGTTTGGAAAGATGCTCGCCAGCGAAGTAGATATTTCCTTCGGGTCGTTTAGCCACCTGGTGAATCTGGAAAATTGACCCAGAAGGAACCTGATTGGTGGGCAAGTCAGCAATCGCTTACAGTAGTGGGGAAAGGAGTTACTGCCCATCACTTACATTGCATCGCCACCACAGAATTAATTTGACCACAGTACTTCAAAGAATTTAATATACTCTTCTTCGATATTAGCTGGCTCGTTTTTAAAGTACTTCGCGACGCCATGTAAAGATATTTTTGCACGATCTTCTCGACCTAGAGCCCCCCATTTAAGCGCATCAGACATCCATGAGTATAGAAGAAGTAACCCGCGCCCGTCGTGGCCTAAATGGCCCGATGGATAGATCATCCATCGAAATCGAAGGTGAGTTGCACGGAACCTTTTTTAGCTTCGACCAACCATTCGATGCAATTTAATTACCTCTGTCCACCAAAAGAAGGCTCAGGGAGATTTTCCCAGAATCGAGTTCTAAAATGCAGACCAATCTTGTATAGAGGCTCAAGGCCACGCACCACGTAAAGACTGCTCTTTTATAAATGACCAAATTGGGCGTTGATAGATGGTATGCATCGCCGCAGTCGGGATTGCGAGAAGGATCTTGTCGAATGTGCAAGTATAATCACTTAGCCCCGATACTCAAGCTTTATCTTTCCACCAAGCTTTTCTGTGATACTTGAACAGGTGAGTTCCCATGAAACTTATCATGGCCAATCAATTTAGCCCCGGCTTCAACCATCTTCGACATGCCTCCCTCAACGGTATTCCCAGTCCTTGGTGTCGTAGTGGAGATTCTGCAAGATGAGCTCTGTGAAGCTCAAATCGTACTGGTTTATTTGGCTGTTCATAAGCTCGACGCACTCGATTACCTCGTGCAGCCACCCTATGGAACGAAGATGGTATCAGAAAGAGTACTCGTCGTACTTGAGCAACATCTGGAAGCCTGTCTCGAAGTCTCCTCGAAGCAACTCCAACCAAGGGGAGACAACTTTCGCAAAAATTGCTTTTGCAGACTTGCCACGATACTAGGCGGAAACACCCACAATGTCTTCCCAGGATGCATCATCGATGTAGAGTTTCTTGCCTTTGAAGAGCGCCTTGTTGTTTTTGTGCTCGAGAATGTAAGGTATCCCTTACTCCGTAACAAGCACACTACCGATAGGAACATACTCTTGGCAGTAACGTCAGTCTATTAGATTCGCACGGTCTATCAGATTCGCACGGTCTATCAGATTCGCACGGTCTATCAGATTCGCACGGTCTATCAGATTCGCACGGTCTATCAGATTCGTACTTATCAGATAGAAATATCATCCGCAAGTAGCCATTTACGTTCGAGCCGACGATCTCCCGGTCGTCCGGAACCCTGATGGCGCTGTCCATTCTGTCGGCTAGTCACAGTACGCTTAGTCCTGTTTATAGGTAGGAAAGTACGCTTGGCACAGGTACATGAGCTACGACGAAACCGTGGATTTAAACCTGCGCTACTACCCGTCCCAAGGACTCGATATTATTATACCGAGTGTAAGAAGTCCCTCCAACAGTACAGTGTGTTGGAGGTACTTCCGCGGATACGAATTTCAGCTACGTAAACACACAAGGAAATAAGAGCGCATGAGGAGGCCTCTATGTTGATTCCGATAGTATAACCTTGATGATAGTAAATTGTAACTATTTATATTATTGTTGTTTAGATATTTAATAAAGTTGATTCTTGTCTATTATCCCACTTTTGACGAGACGTTCCATTTTGATACTTGGCACGGTCTAATTAAGTTTGGCGTTGGTGTTGTCGCTTGAGTTCCTACTAGATGTGTGCTTATTATGGAGTAAGGGATAAGGTTGACCTTTGTTTCACAGAGGTTATATGCGTTTAGATATTGGATCATGCATATCGCGTGCCACTGCTACTGCATAAAACCTTAAACCCCACCAAAATCACCCCTTTTACCTACTTTAGAATAACATATATTTAATTCCTCCTGTAAACGTTTTCTCTATAACCAAAAATATCAATTAATAGTGATCTTATCTAAACTTTAGTAGAACACGCTTTACTAAAAAGTAGAAATAGCTCTATAGGATCAATATACGTAAGGTACTCGTAGGCATATTTATGGGCTAATTTCGGGTTGTTTGCGGTGTAAAAGTGTACTTTTCGATTTCACTTAACTTCCCTAGCTAATAGCTTTATAACTTTGAATATACTAAACATGTTAAGTAGATGTGATTAATCTTAATCATCGAAATATTAATTTTACTAACGTATATAAAACTTAGAGAGTGGTGGAGTATATATAACGTAAAGTGTTTACCCTGAGTTTTGGTGGTGTTTTAGGGTTTATGCAGTAGCAGTGGTATAGTACTGTAGCAAATCATGGTGCGACGAGAGGGAAATTCTCATAGCACCGGCTTCGAAGTAAACATCACTTCCCTCATCTCCACTGGCAATCGATGAGTGTATATGCGTCCGCCAAGACGAGGAGAAGCCTCGAAGACCGTGACTTAATGGCCTTCGCGACGAAGAAGCAAAGCAGCACTAAGGCCAGAAATGCCACCGCCAACAATACCGATATGCATTTATGGAAATACGACTTGAGTTTGTGATCAAAGTATGGTTGATAATCAAGAAAGTCAAAACAGTGAATTGAGAGCTATCGAATACCGTGGTACATCGACTCTGAGGAGGAGACAAGGGTTTGTAGGTGGAGTACGGAACTAAGCGCTTTACAGCCTTTCCTGCGCTTGAATGTACTTATTCTTATGCGAACTAGATTACGATGAGCAGCAGCTCCTCTTTTCTGTAGCAAGCTGAGTCACTTAGTGGCTAGGAAAAGTGGTTTTTGTACTCCACTCGCAACCCTGGTCTCCTCCTTAGAGTCGATTTACCACGGTAGTTGAAGGGCTGAAGAGTTGAAGACTTCACATTACTGCCAAGTGTACCTTTACAGGACGTTTTCGGCCCCTTTGATTGAAGTGAGAGTCTGATTTTGCAGTCGGAGGCGGAGTTGAGACTCATCTCTGTATAAAGATTTCGCAAAGGTATGTGGACTTATGAGGTATCTTCAAGAATTATAACAACACTCTGCAACACTAACTACATAGCCGTCGATTAAGCTTACTGATTGTAACTCTTTATCGCTAAGCTAATCTGAAAACGTACCGGGTATTAAACTTTGTGCTTCTATCCTTTTTCTTTCCCCTCTCCATCCATCTTTTTGTTTTCTTTTGGTCTGCTTCAATAGTGTCGCATTTCAAACCTCGTGAATACCTTCTCAAAATCTCTTCCACCCCAAAGAACATACTCAGCAAATACATATCGTAATAGGATTGCCTCAACTTGTGGATCCGGCCGCTGATAATCGGGATCAAAGTATCCTGGAAACAGGGAGACCCCAAAAGACGGAGCCGGAAAATATCAAGCTCCACCCTGCAGAAAATCCCATCAACTGGCCAGCAAGAAAGAAGTGGTCCTCGACTATAATCTTAGTCCTCATGGTAGCAAACATTGCTTTTTGCTCTAGTATTCATGCAGCTACTGTAGAAGGTGTCGAAACTACCTTCAAATGCTCCAAGATCGTAGCAAAACTAGGCATCACGACCTTTCTCATTGGACTTGCCACGGGGACTTTATGTTTTGCTCCCATTTCTGAAGTTTGGGGAAGACTTCTTGTCTTTCGCTTTACTCTTGGCCTATTCGTCTGTTTCAATGCTGGCTGTGCTCTGGCACCAAATATTCAGGCTCTTCTGATTTTCCGGTTCTTGAGTGGCTTTTTCGGGTCCTCTGCTGGTACGTCTTACATAAATCTCCTCATACCGACCAAAGGACGTCGTAATTCTGACTCCAACCAGTGGCAAACACTGGAGGTGCTCTCGCAGATATTTGGCCGCAAAGCCATCGCTCTGTACCATTCGCTCTTTTCGCCACCGGAGGCTCACTTGGGCCTGTTTTTGCTCCGATTGTTGGGGGGTTTATTTCCCAGGTAAGCTGACTTCAACTCATGTAGGTATTGCAGACAGCTAACGCCCTTCCAGTATCTGATTTGGAGAGGGTCAGTGTGGCGTGCCTATACTAGTTTCATAGTATGCTAACAGGAAATGGCAGAAGTTACTGGCTTCTCAGCATCCTTTCAGGGGTGATATACGTGGCTATGATTATCATACTTCCGGAAACATATGCTTCAGTGCTACTTCAATGGAAAATGGAGAAAGCTGGAATTCAACCAGCCCATCAGGCATTGACAGAGAGATATGTTACGACTCTCACCCAACCATGGATGATGTTATTCACCGAACCTATTCTGTTTACTCTCGGTCTTTACTCAGCATGTATTTGGGGCATTCTGTATCTGAACTTTACCGCCTACCCATTTGTCTTCCAAACAGAACGAAAATGGGATCAAGGAGTTGCAGGTCTTTCACTACTTGGAATTACCCTAGGAATGACAATTGCCACAGCAAGCTCCCCGTGGATCGATGACATATACTGTGCTTATACCAAGAATCTCAAAGGACCGAAGCCAGAAGCACGCCTCCCGCATCTAATCTTTCTCGCATGGCTGGTTCCTGTAGCGTTATTCTGGTTCGGATGGACTGCAACTCCACCAACACACTGGATGGTCTGCATATCTGCCGGAGTCCCATTTGGTATCGGTTTCATTACATTATTTCTCGGGGCGAACGCATACCTGACTGATTGCTATGGCCGTTTCTCAGCGAGCGCACTTGCTGCCCATGCAGTCATGAGACTGTCCTTTAGTGGCACTTTCCCACTATTCGCAACACGACTTTATGATGAGCTAGGGACACCATGGGCTGCTAGTACACTGGGTTTCATAACTTTGGCAATGGCACCTGTGCCGTGGTTGTTTTACAAGTATGGGCCGAAGCTCAGATCACTGTCTAAGTATCATATATGGACATTGGAGTTGGAAGAGACGGAGAGAGAAAGTGAGTGATTGATTACGAGCGTGTCAGACACTGTTGGCAGGGGGTTTGTTGGACTTCTAATCAGTTTAAATCCTAGAGAAGAGCATACGCTGTGGTGCATCTACTGCGGCAAGCGATATAACTATGTCACATTGTTTTTAGGCTGGAACTTTCATTAACGATGGTCTTACTGGGAAGCGTGGAGGATAATTTTTGATAGTCTCATAAATTCATATTATACTATGGCAAACGGTTGTTGTACCACCTGTGATTCCTACGCTAAGTGAGACGCTGTGTAACTGTGCCCAACTCCCGATTTCCTATGCCGGAGAAGTATATTAGTGTAATCATATATAATCTCTCCACATCGAAGATGACAAACCTCATCATCGGAATTTTGTCCATACCGAAAGACGGCCGCTCTGATTGCTGACCGGATGGATCGTTTCTTAGTTGTCATGCTGCTGCCGAGGTGTCTACAGGAGTTATTCGGTATGTGTGCAAACAAAGCAGGGTTCAATAAAAAGGTCCTAGATTTGTAACTATGCCACTGCACGAAGAATGGAAAATATGGAATCGTGGAGTGGCCAACGACTCAGCCAGGTATTACCGTCTACATATCCCTCTTTCTGACCATTGGGCGCCACTTGGATTGGGTGCCCCTCAGCTTGCAAGATGACCTCTAGGTTGAAATCACCACAAAACATTATACAAATAATCTAGACTTTGTTACATACAAGAGAGAGGCAGATTCAGAAAAGTTAAAGTGACATGACTCTGCGTGTCTTAGTAAACCATACCTAAGTGGGTTCTGGGTACCACAAGAATTCACTATGATTACCAAAGATTCCTTACCTTGTATTTCGCCCAATGGTTGATTCCGGCGAATGTAGGGCGCGAGTTTGCGCTTCAGAGACCCGCCAAGTGGTCATTGGTGATAGTCTCTTCCAATCATTCCCCTACAGTTTCTCTCTGCGAGACAAGTGAGATTCCACGGATTTAGCTTCTACTATGGAACACGTGACCGATTAGTCCCTGTGGGAGCAGAAAAGTATATATATATACCTCTTGTATAAAGTTATATACTTCTTACTTTAGAAAGAAACATTTTATATTAATTCCTGTTTAAGATTAAACAAATCTACATACTAGCGTTCTCTATAAAAGACTTTTTATTAGTATCCCTTTGACGTAGTATATGTACGTTTCAAATTTTGGGTTAGTGGTATCCACTTTAACTCTTGGTATATAAGCTTATTTCCACTAACAGTATCGTATACTATATATTTCGGTAAAAGTTTAAGGATTAATCGGAAAACTCGCTATAGTAGAAGTACAAGTTTAATCGACATATATAATAACTGTTATACTAAATTAATCACTTGTATATATCCGACCTAAAGGAACCGTAAATAGAACGAAAGTTAAGTAAAAAAAAAGGGGGTAAGATAGGTATATATATAAACGATTAACTTATCTATAGCTGTGAGGGTTGAAACCCATGATGGAGGCTCGGGCCATGCCCTCACTAAGCACTGACCAAAGTCCCCGCTCAGCACTGGCCATTCCCCCACTGCCAAGCAAGTCTCTGCTGTTCCATACTTTTCTGTTCTATTCTTTTGACATCATGTATTCGTTAGGCAGCTTCCTGGAATATTCCAGAGACTCTTCCTCTCTCTATATATAGAGGAAGAGCTTGCATGTATGTAGTCTTCACGCACTTCTTAATTGAATATTCGAAACCACACCTTTGAGCTATTCGAGGTCTGGCCTCTCACAATAGCTAAAGATTAGAAAAATCATTATTAACAACCTTCTTATTTACTTACAAAAAACTACTTCGAACTATATTTTCTCTACTAATAATACCACCTCTACTAGAACCTCGGGGTCCTTTAAGCTCGCCGCGCTTCGAGTCTGTACTACGCCCCCTTGTTAAAAGAACCTACGCGCAAGTTTTAGCTAGCCCGCCCTAGGCGATTTAGATTAGTTAGTCTTTTGTAGTAATTAAATAGTTTTAACGTTCCCGGCGATAGCCTTATATTTGCCTTTTTGATACGAATAAGCTTTAAAAACAAGCGCTTTCGGACGATTATCGCTCAAAGAGGGAATCGTAAACCCAAAAATCTAAACGTATATATACTACGTTAAAGGGATAAGAGACTTAGATATATTAATTTTCTTAGTATGTTTACCGGTCTAGTACCTAGGAATTAACTTTTATTATAGCTTTAAGCAGCGCTCGGCAACTGGAGTTCCATTCCATTCCATTTATAAGAAGGTCTGGAATATTACATTCCACTGGAATTCCATGGAACCGAATCACATGACCCGGATTAAAGTCTTTCCGATCCGTTGACTAATAGGAAGTCTAGATTTTGCCCGTACGTATAAGGGCGGTCTAAATAGCTTATGTTATACGACTTATTGTGGAGGTATATTAAAAAGTGAGAGGGGAGGTAGGGGGAGTTCTAGACCGTTTACTTAGACTAAGTAAACAGGGCCTAATTAGCATTTACTCCTCTTAAATACTACTCTTTGATTGGTCAGAATATTAATCTCTGGAATTCCATTTTCCGTGGAATTCCAGAGCCTTTTCGATGGAATATTCTATTCTATTTTGAAGGTGCTCTGGAAGGAATATTCCATTCTATTCCACCTGGAATTCCATGGAATAGGTTCCATATGCCGAGCGCTGGCTTTAAGCTTATAGAGCCTACTATGTACCTTCCCGAGAATACTATCTATATACTATTACCCTTTCCCCGTACTCTCTTCGCCTCTTTTATACCCTCGGCCTTTCTAAGTCCCTACTATTCCTCCCTATAAGTGTTTAGTTATTCTAACCTATCCCTCCCGACTATCTCACCCTACTATACCTCTACCTTTACTCCTAGTAATACCCTAATAATACCTTCACTGCCTCTTCCCCTTCTTTCCGCCCCTTCTCTAGGCATGTATGTAGTTTTATGGTTGAATATAAGTAAAAGCGTAGAAATAAGTCTAAAAATAAGCGTCGAAAGAGTTCTTATTTATGTACTCTTACGGCCGTTTTTATTACCATTTACGTACTCCAGCGAGTAATATTCAAAGACAAAAAAGCACATATGTGTGAACCTGTGCTCCCACAGGGAGTTTGGAGGAAATGCACTTGGAGTCGAGGATTGCATGGTTCCAATAAAACTCGAATAATCAAGTAGATAATTACATGATTTCAATTGGAATGATGTTTGCAACTTTTCCCTGTCCAACGAAGTAGTGTACTTGTATGTGCATCTTGGATGTAAACATTGGGGGCTTAAAGATGCAGGCGTTCAATTTCCACGATTTTTCATCACTGCAAAACTATACGTGAGTCACCTACGAACTGAGGAAAGATAACTCAACCTTAACAAGCAAAACAACAAAAGGGCATCTGAATTCAGAAATACGGCGCTGCAGGAGAAATGTCTTATAGATTGACCATTACATCGAGACCGCAATCCATCCTCAAACTCTCACCCGCGTATCTACACCAAAACTTTGACCAATGGAAAGAGAAAAAACCCCTACTTTTCGGCTCAACCTTTAAGCAATTCTATCCGACAAGGATAACTATCCGAAGGGTGGGTACCCGTCTTCACAGTTTGGTAAGCCCTATCCCCATCAAAGGTCTTGATCCCTTCTCCAACGATTCCCCTTTTCAGTTTTCCCAAGAGCCCCAAATTCTTCCGCGCAAGTTCATCGAACTCGTCGTAAGCTGGTTTTATATCGAATCTTCTCATTGTCATGATCACAACAATTCGCATCTCGTTGAGTGTGAGCTGTTGCCCAATACAAGCTCTTGGCCCAATGTCAAAAGGTCGATACGCATTGGGTGGGGGATATAGTTCGTGATCAGACGAAACGAGCCAGCGTTCTGGCAAGAATTCTTTGGGTCTGACCCAGATGCGGGGGTTTATTTGCATAGCGTATGGTTGTACCATAACAGAACACCCTTCGGTTGGTACTTTATCGCCATCTAGGGTTGGGATGGAGACATTTGGAAGACCTGCTCTCATGTTTATTGCCACTGGCGGGTAGAGTCGTAATGTCTCCTTGATAACCGCTAGAGTATAACGGCAGTCATTTAGAAGAGCAGGCTTTGCTTTGAGCTGAGCCCCGATTGTGGAGACATCAGGACCGAAGACAGTTTCGTGCTCTTGTCGTAGTTGGGCGGCCACTTCAGGGTTTCGAGCTATCGTGTTGTATATGAATACAATAGTGCTTGATGTTGTGTCGTTGCCAGCCAGAAGAAACATGCGGGTTTGGTACGCGACCACATTAAGGAATCCTGGAGCTAATTCCACCCCTTCCAAACTTTGCTTGCTGGACATTTCGTTAAAATATGAATCTAATGTCATTCCCACAACTGATTTTGCCTGTGATGTACGTTTCTTGTTTGACGATACCAAACGCTCCAGTTTCATTTCTTCAAAGCGTTTCTTCACACTCTTCGTAACAAAGTTCTGCATCTTATATCCGTTGTACCATTCTCGAATAGGACGGAGAGGATTAAACTTTCGGGCTTCGAAGACCGAAGGCGCAGCTTCGGTGTTGGCCAGTGCTAAAGCAAAAGGATGGTCCGATGTCTGATAATTGATATCTGCGTCCCTGTTGCGATGCTTAGTAAGAAGATATTTCCCAAAGTCCACCAAGATCTACTTACATAACCACCTTCATGATCACATCAAAGGTCAGCTTCACAGCATAATCGTCGAGGAGAATGATCCCTTTCTCGGCCTTCTCTTCCAAGGCTCTGCAAAACACATTTACGCTATCGACGATGAAAGAAGTGTGGTCCACCAAGCTCGCCGCACTGAAACCGGGATTGAGCAAAGACCGCCAATACTTCCAATCACTCCCATTCATCGTTAGAATATTAGGTCCGCCTGCAATGGCCTTTACAGTATCGAGAGTCGTGGGTGACTTAGGAAGGTTGTACTTCGAGGTGACAAGTAATCCGGCTTCAGCGTTGTAAGTCATTATCGCCACATTCATGAATGGCCACAGGTCTACAATAAATGTCTCTGTTTTGGGAAATTCGAGGCACATTTCATTCATGACAATTGCCATTGTTATATCGCGGGGGAATTTGCGAGCATATCGAGCGAAGACCAGTAAATGACCGGTAACCCAACTCCATCCTGGGGTTATACACTATAGCGATATGGAATCAGTGGGAGAGAATGGATAAGACTCATACGAGAGAAACTTTGACTCACTACGCCCTGTTTACGTAGTCTATTGACATGAGAGCGATGTCGATAAATTTTCAAAATAAGATAATTTAGGCCTATGAAGGCCAGTACACCCAAAGCGAGGAGATTATTGTGTATTGCCATGATTTGATGTCTGGAAGAGTGAGCGTCAAGGTTTAGAACAGAAGGAGTTGCGTTTACTAAGTACTGTCTGCGGAACCCTCTGATCTACAAGCTCTGAAATTACCTTTCCAGGGATTTGTTTTTAAGCATATATTGATCTTATCCCGGCCTAAGATATTGTGCTACCCCAGCTAATAATCTTGCAACCCTGTGAATTGCAACTCAGATAATTGGCTAAGAATGCCGAGCTCTGGTGGGCTATATCATTCCGGCCCCTAAATAATCTTCTTCTGGATTGGTCTACAGTTACTATGATAAGAAGGTACCAAATACTTTGAAGTAAGCTCATCTCACGCTCCGCTGTTTTGAATCGTAGTGCAGCAAGGACTCCACCTGATCATGACGTAGACCTGGATTTGCGTGACTTTACTACAATTCGATCCACACTCACCTGGATATCCATTTTGTTTTAGATTCGCGCTGAACAAAGCGATTTTAGCGGTTGTTGTTCCTTCTACGGAGCTTTCTCTAGCGTGGCTCAAAGTTCATCAGGATTTCTTGACAACTCATACAAAATATGGATTCTAATTCGCGAAGGGGGTGGACAGCTCGGACTCGTACGCTGCAAGTTGATACTTCGTACTATGTTGCGGCCCCAACTTTTAGGGAACCAGCGAATCAGAGGCTTGGATCTAGACGTAATAGACTTTTTTCATATGATCTGCGTAAAATGGAGCAGTCTTAGCTGTCCACCCCCTTACGTAGCAAAAGTGGGGTTGGAAAACGTAACCCTATCCTATATTAAGTTTTATATGCCGTCCTATCCCTTGTCGTTTCGGAGGCGTACTTTGGTGGGTCGATTCGCCAAGTATCAAAGTAATCTGATTGAGCCCATTGGTTCATCGACCTACGTATCCACATTTGTTCATAAAACACCATGTAGATTGTCGTGATGTACCCACTTCCATCCCGATTTCTGTACAGGACACAGTTCCAGACCTTTCAAGTCCCGCGCGTATTCGTAAAACTGGAAGCGACGTTGCACAATTGCGGAAAGCCCGTCCTTACCCAGGGAGATTGTAAAGCTCAAAAGCCAATAGGGGTGCTTAAATGCCATGATTTTAGGGGTCAGTACAACTTCACTGTCATTTTCCCTGTGGAACTCTTCTCCACCCATTGCACCACCCCTCGTCGTGCATAGTTTAGGGGATAACTGCCTCTTGGAGGCAATTTACTTCGTAAGCCCTAGATGTCGATGCTACTTTTCTCCTAAACTATAGGACGCCTAACTCGAGGGCATAACAAGGTAGGAGGGAGGAAAGAAACACAAAGCTATTTGTAAATTTAAAGTACGAGTAAAGGTACTTAGAAGGGATTTCGGAGAATTGGGTAGCTTCTAGAGTAGGTAGGTACGGAGTAGCTACCTCCTATCTCCTCTTTAGATTATTCCCTACTGTCATCGATCTATTCGCTTTCGGTTTCGGCACCTCGCATATCGCAACCAATAACCAAAGTTAGAACTGCAGACGAGATGACATTCCGGTACCACGTAGCCATTCAGGTGTCTGACTGAAAGTGTTCTTGTTGAATGATACGGTAGCTTGGCATCTAGACTCATGATACTTCGAAGTAACAATTCTTTGATACTCCTAACTTAGATCAAGAAGTAATTTACCAACTTCAAATGATCGCTGCAGGCTTGGAAAGAAAGTGGACTCGGGATCGTTCTGTCAGATTACCCTTTGTAGCACTCTTTGAATTCTGGAAGCCTGTGGAAGGCTTGGACGAACCTCCACGTATTCCCCTCCAAGTATTCCCCTCCAAGTATTCCCCTCCAAGATGCCAAGAGCGAGTCGACCCACGGCTATTTACATAGTAACGTCACGCCACTTTCTGCCATTGTCAACAACTCTTAATTCTAGAAATTGGAGCAGCACAAGGTAACGGCCCGATAAGAGTTGTCACTAACCTTCTTCATTAGTAATGTTCATTCCTCCGAAGTAACAGACTGTGAAAAAGTTCCCAGCATACCGAGTATTAGACCGCTTCCGAATGCTTCCATTTTAGTAAATAAATAAACTTCCTTCTAGTATACAAGACATACCGGTATAGCCAAAATTATTCTTCTATTAGCGTAAGATAATGTAGAAGATTTAAATACTCTAAATACTCTTATTACAAACTACCTAGAACAGAGTGTGTCGGGTCACGTGTTTCATGGATACGTGACCCTCCCCTTTTCTACTTATATAGCAGAGATTTTCTCATCTAGTCCAAGCTCCTTAGAGCTTTTTCGTTTATACTATTCTATGCGCGATAACTCTAGAATAATTACTTTACATAATCGTTTCTCTTCGTTTCTCTTTACTTTGGTTTCCTAAATACCTACTATCCCTTCTGGACCAGAGAGATACAAAACAAACGTGTACTCGGTCTAGATAGAAGTAGAAGCCATAACCAGGTTTATGAAAGGCTCAAATTCTTGGAAACATAGTCTAGTTAGCTATAATATTTTACTTTGCCGACAAATTGTTGTAAAAATAGATACCTTTATTCCGCCCAGGAGTGTATGTTTTTTTGTTTCTCTGGTCTGGAATAAATATAGCTCCTAGCGCGGTCTGCGTATTACTAGAGAGTGTTACTAGCGCGCCCGGCTCGTATAGGCTAGTTCGTTCCTCAATAGTACAAGTACCAGCTCGCTCTTTAGCTTAAAGAATGCGAGCCTTTTACTCCGAATGCCCTATCTAATAACACTTTACTAAACCTAAATCCGACGGACTCCGTCATCAGTTGAATCATACAACAACCAGAGTACTATAAATAATTTACATCATCCGAACAACCAGAGTTAAACTTGAACAACAAGCCTTCCAAGGTTCCCTGTACCTTTCATCTAATTCTGCAAGGAACATATCCCAAAACCCAAAACTAAAATCAGACATCCGAAACACCATCCGTCAAAACCCAAAGTTCGGACAAACTAGCCACGCGTCACCAACGCACACTTCTAAGAAAGTTCCCCCATACTTTGCGGGGTCACGGGCAAAAGTGAATCCCCCCAATTAAGAACCATTACATGACACCAAACCCTCCAACTTTGACATACAAATTCCTCAAGAACCAGCTATCAAGAAACTTCACCGCAAAATCTCCGCAGTAGTCGTAGCCACGAAGTATTTTCAATAGCGAACGCGAACGCGAACGCGCTACCGGACAATTATTCATTGGAGTCTGGAGATACCGTAGGTCAAGAATGCAGGTCCGGCATGCAAGATGGAAGGCTGTGTAGCCAAGAGATTTGATGGGAACTGTGATTGATCGATAGGATGATCGGGAAGTACTTACTGGGATAACCTTATTGGAGCCGCGCTGACAGATTTGGCACCAGGGATCTCCTTGTTTGTATCGATGGCTATGGGTCGATAGCAATGACGTTGGGCTTTCGAGTTTTCTTGATTTTACCAGTGTCCTAAAGATTAGCCAAATACTCATGTCGATTCGAGTACTATTCGAGTTGAGTTGAGTTGATTTGAGTATAAGTAGGTAGGTGGTTTGGTTGAGTTGAGTTAAGTAGTAGAATTAACATTTAATTACTAATTAAGGGCCTGTTTGGCTCGCCTAATTTAGAGATTTATACCAGGTGTAAAAGTCTTAGATTTGCACGGGTTGGAGGACCCCTAAGGACTTATGTAAAAGTTTCCTGATTTACATATAAATTAGACTATTATAACAAAACAAATGTACTACTGTTTAGCTAGTGTAAAAGATTCTTTTATTTTGTTATATTTATTTATTACTATTTAACGTCAGGCGGATTCTAGCTCGCGTGGGCTAGGTCCTAGAAGAGTCCCAAAATAGGGCAAATGACGCTAGGGGGTGCCCTAGGCTACAGGGGGTGTAAACGAATGAGCTAATTTACAAGAGACATTTTAAAGAGAAGTTCCACTTTCGGAACAACCCTTATCCTTAATTAGTTTTAGAACCAGGGTAAGACAAAGGAGATATATAATTAAACGAGAAGGGAAAGAAAAGGAGGTGTGTCTAACTAGAGACAGATTTTGGTGTAGAATTCGGTCTTAAAGTAGACCAGGCTAAAAAGCTTCTCGCAGTGATGTCCAAAGAGCAGCTAGGGGTTCTTCTTGGCCTTAGCTAAAAGCTCAGGGTCTTTGTTGTTTGCTAGCTTGCAGAAGAGTAGGTGGAACTGGGTCTTAGCCTTCTTACACTTACAATTCCCTGACTCAAGTAGCGAGTCGAAGTGAAAGTAGCGAAGATGGTAAGCCGTAAAGTCTCCATGTCCAGAACGAGCAGCAATTAAGCGAGCGAGGACCTCTCTAGGTAGCTGGAGAGATTTAGGCTTTGAGGACCAGGTGTAGAGCCCTAGGTCCTTATAGAGAGCTGGAAGTGTCGTGCTCCAGAGCTTCTTCGCAAGCGCAATCCCTGTCTCCTTTACCTCTCTCTTAAGCGTGGCTGTACAGAGTAAAGGGGAGGGTTCAGGAGAGGGTAACCGTGCTGCTCTCCCTGCAGCTTTATCTGCAATCTCATTGCCTAGGATCCCTATGTGGCTAGGGCACCACCTTGTCTGTATTTTCCCAGGGTACAATTGAGCTAATTCGTTGACCTTGTTGAAGGTTTCTTGCGAGGTGCCGCAGGATCGGTAGGTCAGCTGTAGGGTAGCTTCGAGGTTGTCGAGGCAAATCCAGCACTTTCTGGCCGACGACCAGAAAGGGGAGTCCAGGGCTAGTTCTAGGCCATGTAGAGCAGCTCTAGCCTCTGCATCATATATCTCTAGCACCTTGCCAAAGGAGAAGATCTTAGTGTTGAGAATAGCCCCTCCTCTTGTTAGACAGACACCCCCGCCAGTGCTCTTGTCGTCTAAGCGAGAGCCGTCAGTGAATACTACTAGATCAGTAGAAGGAACCAGAGCTAGGAATTCAAGGAATTTGGCCTTAAAAGAGCTCTTGTCTCCACCAGGGTCAGGTCCTGCTACTTCAATAAGGCGGGCCTGTCGGTTGAACCCCCTGTCCCACGGAGGGTCTTGTATTGGGTCAATCTCTTC